CTCTGTCGTGATCGATGGCGCCGGGGCGCTCCGCTGCACGAGCACTGCCCATCACTGTGCTGGATTTCTTCCAACTTTGATGCGGCTTTATGGATGTCTTTTTCTAGTCACTGTTTTTGCCAGGCATGCGCAAAAGCATTCCTACAATGTATGCTCGGAAGGAAGGACGGCACGCGTCTCCTGGGGCCGACATTTCTCAAATATATATATATATATATATATATATATATCTTGTCCCAACTTAAAGAAGGGTGTAAAAACCTCAGATCATGTCGTTCATCCCGCGTGTGCAGGATGTCCATCCGCGACGAAGGGAGCTCAGCGACGGATGTGCAGTGAGCCTTCGCCTGACTGGGCGCGCCCACCTGCCCGCTGGTGATATTCGGGCGCGCTCGAGACTCGCCCTGCGGCCGCTGCCGCCGCGGCCTTGTCCCGGCCCGACCACCGCAGGGCCTGCTGCGGTCACAGCGCAGCGCCAGCCGGGCACGCCACGCCGCCCATCCGGGTCACCTGCTGCCATTGTGTGCACTCAATCATGACGGCGTGCCCCGAGCGCGGTGCTTTTTGAGACAGGCGTCGAGACGAGCGATGTGAAGTGGAGTCCGCTTTTATGCGGATTTTCAGAACTTGTTAGAACTTATCAAGTCATCAACTTATTATCAAGTATCAAATATCAAATATAATTATCTAGTACCAACTTACTTCCAAGTCGGGCTGAATTTTGAACTAGTTACGCGAATGCACTAATGTTTAAATTTGCATATGCTTCCATCCACGGTTCACTGTTGGGCTAAGTATTAGCATAGCTGGGAATATGTCAAGGTTTTTGTTTCTACCGCGTCATGCCGCGGTGCCTAAAAGTCAGCATTTTTCGCGTGGATTTTCAGTATCAGAATTGAATTACCAAAACCATTTGTGACCCTAGCATTATATGTTTGCATCTGGCGGGTAACGTAATGAAATCCAAAATGGTGCTGTTTCTTGGCGGCAGCACTGGGGAGCGTCCTAGCTTGGTACGGGGATCGTCGTAAGCTGATACCGGGACGGTCTTAGTCGGGTACTGGGATCGTCGTAGCTGGGTACCGGGACCGTCCTAGCTGGGTCCCGGGACCGTCGTAGCTGGGTACCGGAATCGTCGTAGCTGAATACCGGGATCGCCCGGGATTCGGCAGGGATTCGACAGAGATTCGTCCGGGATTCGGCAGGGATTCGGCGAGGATCGGCAGGTCAACCGCCATAATAAGTGCACAGAGAAATTCTGAGTTAAAGCGTTTTCAAAATGCTTTCAAACTCTGCCATGAGCCTGGTAGCAGAGCCTCATTTGACGACGTGATTAATACGCGACCATCACGTCCAACAAACGTGACAATTTTTTCGCATGCTGCAACGTATTTCCTCGCATTATCTTGCCGTATTGCCTGGTTCCGCGGTGCCTTGCAGAGCTGCTCGCCGAGGTAAAACCGGTGCACAGTGCACAGTTGACGCGCGCGCTGGTCGCCACCGTCGCCCAGTTCCGGGGCACGCCGGACATCACGCTGGTCTCGGAGCCGTCATGGGACCGCCACGGGATCGCCCTACACCGCCATGGCACAGGCACGCGACGGTTACAGGACGTCACGGGCCGTTACGGGGCAGTCACAGGCCGTCACGGGCCGTTAGGGGCCGGTCACGGGACTGTCATAGGACCTCCACGGGGTCGTCACAGGTCACCACTGGGCCGCGGGTCGCCACGGGGTCATCACGGGCCGTTAGGGGCCGGTCACGGGACTGCCATAGGACCTCCACGGGGTCGTCACAGGTCACCACTGGGCTGTCACGGGGTCATCACGGGGCCGTCACGGGCCGTCACGGGTCAGTCACGGGACTGTCATAGGGCGTCCATGGGATCGTCACGGGTCGCCACTGGGCTGTCACGGGATCATCACACGACCGTCACGGGCCGTCACGGGCCGTCACGGGGCCGCCACAGGGTCGTCACGAGTGGTGACGCCGGACCATCGCTGCGTCAGTCCAAGCTCGGCATGGCTTGAGGCGCCGCCGCACGTCAGGTTGTGTTGTCATACGGCCAGATGGCGAGGTTGCCGTGGGAGACCCCAGCGGTATTTGAGGAGCGCGCGTCGGTCAGGCCGTGTTGTTGTGTTTAGCGGATACCAGCGGGCCTGGCGCGGTCTGAATCGCTCACACGGGACCGATGCCAATCCCCCGGTCGTTAGCGGCCGTGATGGAAAAGCTGCGGAACATCTTGGGACAAACATTATTGGCCGGTTGTTGGTGCACGGCCTGCTGTTGACTCCTTTTTTGCCCACATTTACTTTGTGTGTCAAACAACTTAGCCGCCACATTGAAAGGCACCCTGACCACATCTATGCCAATTGGGTGGTAATTGTTGTAATTTGTGTAGTGTCTCCTTTTTACTTGTATTGTCCTTTAGTGTGCTGCCTTTGTACGCGATGCCTTTAAATTACACGCGTATTGTTGTACATTGACGTGGGTGTTCACAAATCCAATTTGTGGTCACCCCTAAATACATATCGTACCATGCCATATCGGCACAAGCTCTTCATGGGCCATGAACTTCCATTTATTTGGAACTCCGTTATTGATTCCCCGTTGACGGTTCGCCAGAGCCACCCACCGGTGTGCCCGTCCACCATGCCCTCATTGTGTCCCGCTGTTCCCGTTACCAACTGTCAGCTCTGTCCGGGTCCCCTCCCCTCCGGGTTCGGCGTCATCACGCAGTCGACGATGCGTGACCTGCCCGTCCCCCTCCCCCTCCCCTCCGCCGACCATGGCTCCCTGACGGTGCCGGCCGGCTGGGCTGGCTGGCCGTGGGAAGAGTATGACGGATGCGGTGGCGGCACCATTTAAACTGCACTGCCCTCTGCTGCTGTAGACTAGATTAGACTTGGTCCTTATGGACGCGACCTGACTGGCTGGGAAATAATAGACTTAACATTAATAGACTAGGCGACAAATTAGACGGGCTGGTCGAGAGGTTTCTTGCCTACTAAGTTATAAACCAGATAATGTGCGAGGCCACATACATAATAAGAATTCGAGCATACAACAGGGTCTGCTTAACTTTGCAGTTGACTGGAAGTCGGACTGTATTTATAGTATCCTTGATTTAGACAAGACTAAAATGCAGTACTCTGGACAGTATCAAGTAGACTGGCTCACCCAGTGGACGCGGAGACTCAGTGGATGCGTCAGAACCGGAGTCGGCGGCCGCCGGAGGCCGCAACATACCGGGACGGACGTGATATCAGCCAGAGAGCGGCGCCGGTCGGCTGCAAGCACGCAGCCAGGCGCTGCTGGGCTGTCGATGCCGTCAGCCCACCCCCGTGACCTCGGCCGGGGCTGGGTACGGTGACGTGCCGCGCGGAACGGCCGCGGCACCGCTGACGTCACCCGCCGGATGCCGCCCTGGCCTCAACCAGAGGTCTCCGAGGGAAGCGGCGCCTCCGCGTGCCGGTCCTCCTCTGCCTGCTGGACGGACGGCAGGTGCGGAGGGTGCGGAGCGCTGCTCCTCCGCGTGGGGAGAGGGGGGTTGGGGGGTTGGGGTGAGGGTTCGGCTAACACAGGAGGGCTCTGCATCGCGTCGAGAGTGCTGAAGAGGCGGGGAGAATCCACTAGGCCCGCGATGGCAGCCGACTCTCCTCGTCTATCGGCCGGCTCGCTGACCGGCGATGCCCACCTGCGCTGTCTCTTGCGTGGAATTCCTTCAGTCGGCCTTCAGTTCAGTATTTTCTAGACTAAGGCGATGTTCCTGTGGAGTCGAATCCTTGAAAACCGATTTCAATGGCCCTTATACCAGACAGCCAGCGCAAAAATATAATGCTTGAAGCCATTACCAACATATGGAAGAACATCATTGTTAATGACAACGAGCGTTCTGCACTCACTGGCCTTCTACAGGTTTACATCCCACCTTGCCAGCGTGTTTCGACGCAAGCGTAGTACAATGACCTCACGCAGGAAGCGTTGCCAAATGGCTTCAAGGAGAGGGCGTGGTCTAGCGGGCCTGTGACGGTCTCACGTGACGCGCTTCCCCCTGCGTGTGGCATGTTGCCTGCGTGTGAACGCGACGTTTTTAGGCACGGCGGGATGTTCCGTGGTGCGGCCGGACACCGACGGCAAGGTGCTTTTTAGAAGCGCTCGGCCGGCTCACGAGTGCATCAATTGTTGTGTAAACCTCCTGTCATTTTGACATCTCAGTTTTGGGGGAAAGCCAACCCTATGAGGTGGTAGTCTGCGCATATAACGCATCGATGCTCAGGTGTCTTGTGGCTGAGCGATCGGTAGAAGCGTCATGAATAACGAATGCCCAAGAAACCGAAGACGGCTTTCTTCTCGGGTTTATATTTAGTCCTGGTTTTCCGCTGTAATCCGATTTGTTAAAACTTCGTGTCGGTGCCGAATTCGTTAATGCCGTTTTTGACGGACCTGTTTCGAGCGCTGATCTCTGGCTACGACTGCTGCATTCGTTCCAATTCCTTACCGACTAGGCGGGTTTTCTGCCTGTGTACCACTTCTATGATTTCCGGAAAGCGTTGTTTCTGTTTTGTCGTGCTAATAAGATTGTCCCTTGATCGCGCTGGGTACGAACGCCAAGCTGCGCTGAATGTAATTATAAAAGGTAACCTTTCTTTGAAATGCGTCTGAGAGTAAATTATTACGTACTACCGGTAGCAACCACATTGCCATCTGTTTGCACATCGTGTGTGTGTGTGTGTGTGCGTCTGTGCTGGTGTCATCTGACCTTGACCGGTGCCCTTCGGCAGATTCCCGTGCGCGGCTCTCGGCCGGGCGCCAGCGGGCTGCCTCGCCTCTCCCGTCTGCCGCGACCGAGCGGCGCGCTGTCGGCCGCGCCGCGCAGCCCGCCGCCGGCGCCGCCGCCGCCGCCGCTGCCGGAGCCGGCCGCCCCGCTCGCCGCCAGGCCCGGCGACTCGGTGCTGGTGGACGGCGAGCCGGGCACGCTCCGCTTCCTTGGCCACACGATGTTCGCCGACGGCCTCTGGGCGGGCGTCGAGCTAGCGCGGCCCATCGGCAAGAACGACGGCTCGGTCGGCGGCCGACGCTACTTCTTCTGCCAGCGCGGCCACGGCCTGTTCGCTCCCGCCGAGATGGTGGAGCGGTTCGACCCTTCGCCGCCTGTGCCGACGGCGACGCCGGCTCCGGTGCCGACCGACGCGGGTGAGCGGCTGACGTCGGCCGGGCCGCGGCGACCTGACGACCTGCCGCTGCCGTTAAACAGCTCGACGCCGGTGGGCGCGGTGCCGGCGGCCGGCGCGCTCTCCTCACCGGCCGCCGACCTCTGGTGGGACCCGGACAACATCGAGGACACCGTCGCCAGCAACGTCAGCGACGGCGTCGACGACGAGCTGCTGCAGGACATCGAGCTGGACGAGGTCTCGTTCGGCATCCTCACGCCCGACCAGATGGAGGTGGACACGCAGCTGATGCTCCGCTCCGAAGACCTGAGCCGCTCGCTGGACATGCTTGCCAGCCCGAGCGCTGTGCCACCCTCGCCCGCCGACCTGAACCACACGTTCGTTGTGGAGGCGGAGCAGGCGGCGGCACGGCGCGGCCGCGGCTCACCCGCCGGGGACGAGGCGCGCCTCGTGAGGATGGCGTCCGACTCCGGCGGCGCGCTGAACATCACGGTCACCCTCAATACCGAGCCCGACTGGGAGGACGAGTTCGGCGAGCCTGCGACGGCGGCGACGCGGCGGACTGGCGCCGTGCCGCCGCCACGGCCGCCGCGGCCAGCGGCGCTGTCGGCGCCCGAGCTTCCTGCTCAGGAGAAGCTTCCTGCTCAGGAGACCGAGAGGCCCGAGAGGCCCGAGCAGGGGCACCCCAGTCGGCAGCGCACAGAAACGGCCGAGGCGGCCGAGGCGGCCGCCGACGCCACCTTCTCCCTCACAGACGGAGATGGCGCGGTCAGCTCGAATGACGTCACTATTTGCGTGAGTGATGTCACCACCAGCATGTCGAGCGAGTCGTCGGACGTGACGCTGAAGGACGAGTCAAGCGGCGCGGGCGAGGCGCTGGCCGAGCCGCCGTCGCCCAGCGCCGAGGCACTGGTGCTGGTGCGGCCGGCGGCCGAGCAGGTGTCGGCGACGGGCTGCGCGCCGGTGGTCCCGGAGGCCGGCGCCGCGGACGCACGGCCACCGGCCGACGCTCGTCAGCTACTGCAGCTGGAGCCGCAGGAGGACCAGCCGCTGCTGGAGAAGCGGGCGTCGCAGGAGCGCGAGCAGCTGCCCGGGGAGGGCCGGGAGCCGGTCGAGCAGCCGAAGCCGGAGGAGCCCGAGGAGCAGCAGGAGGTGGCGGATGAAAAGGAGCAGAGGAAGGTAGGTGTGCGCTGACGCGCACTGCTGCAGGTCGCAGCGTAGTCCGGGGCCACTGGGAAGTGGCCGTGATTGCTGTAGTGGCTGGATGTGCGTGGCCGTTGTCTCCATGGTGAGAGAGGAGTCGGACCGACCTGTATTTAGGCACGTGCATATAGGCGCACTCATTAGAACATTCACTTTTCACTTCGTACGTAACGTACCTGGGCTTAGTTTCATAAAAGCTCGTAATAGACGGACTGTAAAAGGCCCTGGATTCGCCTTGTAAATGAAAATGGCTGTAAAACCGGGCCAGCGCGCCCGTGCGTGACTGCCCGGTCAGCCAGCTTCGGTCATCCCGTTCCTGTGTCTCACTGGCTCCGGAGTGATTTCTCTCTCGTCGGGCCCTGATGGCCGACGGTCCAGCGAGTGCCTCAGCGGCTCCTGCCGGGCGCCACCGGCCGGCGGCTGGGAACACGGCCACCTGGCCCGGCCTGGCGCCGACCACGTGCCGTGACACGGGATGGCGGCAGGGCCACTTGCCGTGACACGGGGTATCGGCAGGACCCGGTTTCGTGACACGAGGTGTTGGCAGGACCAGGTGTCGTGACACGGGGTGTTGGCAGGACCAAGTGTCGTGACACGGGTTGTCGGCAGGACCCGGTGTCGTGACACGGCGTGTCGGCAGGGCCACGTCGCGTGACACGGGGTGTCGACAGGACCCGTTGTCGTGACACGGGGTGTCGGCAGGGCCACGTGCCGTGACACGGAGTGTCGACAGGACCCGTTGTCGTGACACGGGGTGTCGGCAGGACCCGTTGTCGTGACACGGGGTGTCGGCAGGGCCACGTGCCGTGACACGGAGTGTCGACAGGACCCGTTGTCGTGACACGGGGTGTCGGCAGGGCCACGTGCCGTGACACGGAGTGTCGACAGGACCCGGTGTCGTGACACGGGGTGTCGACAGGATCCGTTGTCGTGACACGGGGTGTCGGCAGGGCCACGTGCCGTGACACGGAGTGTCGACAGGACCCGTTGTCGTGACGCGGGGTATCGGCAGGACCCGGTGTCGTGACACGGGGTGTCGGCAGGGCCACGTGCCGTGACACGGGGTGTCGACAGGACCCGTTGTCGTGACACGGGGTGTCAGCAGGGCCACGTGCCGTGACACAGGGTGTCGGCAGGACCATGTCGCACGCCATCTGACGCGCGCGAATAACTGTGTCGAGTGTCCTCTGCATTTATAAACCGTGGTGCATAATTCGACATCGATTTGAAGTCCTGGTGACAGGCCATTTACTTCGCATGATGATGATTACCACGCAAGAACTAGAGCACGCGACGGTCTGACATCATAGCCACAAACAACTCAAGACTTTGACTTTGATGAGCGTGCGGCAAACATGAGCGCGTGGTACCATTGAATGGGTAAGCCTAAGCGACCTTGCAACGATCCCTCGTGTACAAGCTTCGAGGGTTTTTGCCTTGATTATACCATGTTTGCCCGGCATATGGCCTGTCTTCTGAAGCAGATACTTATCGCTGCTCCTGGATGGGTATCATTTCGGCGTAGCGTTCGCCGAGACATCCCTCCAGTGTGTCCAGTTTCACTCTGGTCTCCATTCATTTCCCTGTCCCGCGGCCTTAATCCCGTGGGCCGGCTTCCGCCGTCTTCAGCGCGTTTGGAAGTGGAAGTTCACGGTGGCTGGTTGCCCGTTGCGTGCCGGAGCCCGTCCGGCAGCCGGTACTGTGTGGTCCTGCTGATTACCCCCGGGCCGGGCGTGCCGTGGCCCGTCCGGGCGTGCCCAGCGCGTCCCCCCCCCGTCCTCGCCCCCGCCCCGCTGCCGCCCCCGCCGGCGGCCATTTATTTGACGTGGCAGCGACTGGGCACACTCAGAGACGGTCCCGGGCTTGAGAGTGTTTCCATCTGCCGGCGCCTGGCGGCCGCCGCTTGATAGGTGGGATGGCGCGTGGTTTTGCTGGCAGGGTGATTTGCAGTTTGAGGGCCCGTAATGCCAATTACGCTGCCGGGCCTCGGTTTTTGGCACAATATGCTGGATTGCTGCATTCTGGAGCCGTTGTAACGCTGTGAGAAGCTGGTATGAGTGCATTCGTTTATATTCATGATGTGTGCAGTGATTCGATTCATTGACATGCGATTGAAGTGCGGGGCGCAAGAACAGCAACGAACATTTCTTGCCGCTCTTGTTTGCGCCTTCGTGCCAGATAATAACATTCCGTGTGATATTTAAACCTGAATCATATGGAACCTTTTGATAGGAGTGAAGGATTTAAAGCGTATCGCTATCTCAGACAGCGACACGAGCTGACTACACCGACGGGCTCTCCCTGCACCTTATCGTATTTACACCTTATCTCATTCAACCGTATCGTGTCTGGGCGGCCGGTGACTGACTGCAGGGCTTATCCGGTGCACAGCTGACCTGCTTCCCGACAGGCTGGCCGCGCCCAGGCCGACCGCCTCACTCGCTGCCGAGCGTGCGCGGATCTTCCCGCACATCCACCGTGTTCTGCGCACATGCACGGTGCTGTGGCGGGCCCCACGACCTCTCCGCACACGTGCTGTGCTACCTGAATACCCACCGCCCTCAAAGGCCTGTCGCTGCCGAGCGCTCGCAGGCTCCTTAATCGCCATCGATTGTTCCGCGCTCATTGCCCCCAAGTGCTAGGTGACCACAAAACACTTTGTCCTCGCAATCCCCCATGCCTTCTGCACTTTCTCCTCCCGGTTTGTCTTGTCTTCCACTTCCTGTCTTCCGCATTTCCACCTTGTCCTCTTCTCGCACTCGCGAACATCACAGACATCCTCGCGCTCGCCGCAGCGTCGCTTCGCCTGACTCTCGCGGGCCGGACGACCCAGAGTCATGACCCAGCCGTGAGTCATGACTCTGGACCCATCCGTTCCGTAACGGTGAATCACGGCGAACCAGGGCAAGGCGTCCTCGACTGTTTATCTTGTCGACGGCATATACAGTTGCCTGAGAGGAATAACTGTTTGACGGCGCCGTGTATGCAACACGTCCAAGCTCGGCCAAGGCACGTGGCATCTAGACCTCCGTAACGCATCACAAAACTTATCAATATTTTTTAAATTTCGACTGGGTTGTTTACATTTGCCAAAAAACTTTGAAGCGGTGAAATCGTTGATGACACATTTGCGATTCACATGAATGTTTTGTTTAGCTCGATCACATTTTATTAGTTCTCGAACATTCTAACGTTTACATTTCTATTTGTTTTCTTTTCGAACAATCACGCAATGACATGCGCACCGTCCTGAGTCGCGACAACGCCACCTCCCGCCGCGGGCGCCGCTCCGCGAACCACCGCGGCAACCACCGCGGAGGGACATCCGACGCCTGCCGGCCGCGCGAGCGCGCGAGCCGGCCAGCTGTACACTTCAGTGCTCATAAATGCTAAGTTCATTAACTTCACCTTAGCTTAGGCGTGAGACCGGAGTGAGTGTCACACTATATATATATATATATATATATATATATATATATATATATAATATGCATGTATATGTCGATGTCAATAGTAGTGCGCGCACGCTTTCTGACTTGGTCGGCGTTTTCGCGTTGCGGTTCTCATAGCCGGTGCGGCAAAAACAGAGAAGGGCTGGGATGATCCTGCTCCGATGGGAGGCAGAGTTCGTCCGTGGCACGACTCACATGTGTCACAAATGGCGCAGTCATGCGGGTTGATGGCGCGCTGTCCTGCTGTAAGTCAAACAATTTGGACCTTTTGTGACATTTGATTATGTGAGGTCCCCGCACCTTTTGTAACATTTGATTATGTGAGGTCCCCGCCCTGTCCTCAGAGGGGATGTATACGGGAGGGGGACAAAAATGGGGCGCAGCGTCTCATTTTGTGACCGTTTGCATTACATGCAACTACCGCTTTATGCCATCAGTCCTCGATTTGCTCTGGTTCCTTCTGTTCTGTCTTCGTTGCAATTTGCCATCCGAATGCGACCATACAAACCAAACTTGAAAATTGCTTGATAGTAGTACCTTTCCAAAGACATTTGAGTCTTATTTTTAAAAGGTCTATGGAATGTCTGTCTGCAGCCAGAGTTTTTAACGTTGCCTGTTTGCATCCGTTTGAAGGTAGTGTCCCAGCTTTGGGGCATATTTTTGAAAAGATAACTGTGCTCTGGTAAAACCTCAGGACCATTCACATCTAATGATAACACTGAGTAGTGTCACTGCAGCACCATCAAGATAAGCTAAGGATATACATTTTGATTCTTTACCGAATTACACTGTCAACCTTTGCAGCAGCACCGCAATCCATCCTTTCTTGGTTGCCATAGAGTGTATTCCAAGCCCGCAATAGCTGCAGCTTTCGCGACCGCCGCCATCACGATGACGACAGAATCTGCTGAGGGCCGCTGTCAGCGGTTACGGGTTAGATGTACTACTTTTGAGCTGTTTTAACCCGCACATTATGGGCCTGCGGCATTAAGAAAAATCTCTAGTTATGAATAACGTCACCACAAAGGAACGCTTGTGATTGACACAGCGGGCGACCGGGGCCAGACACGGAGAAGCGCATGGGTTAAAGTTTGAACTAGTGCGTCACTATAGACCGCGTGGCATTTCGTCTCCCAAAGCTGAAGTGCGCGGCGAAAAGAGCCGTTGTGGGAAACACCGCATGGCAAACGAAATAGGGAATATATCGAAGCCATAGTATATCATTTCGTGTAATCTGCGAGTTACTAGCCCCTTGTTTGCGTGTCTTTTTCTATGAACCGGGTATTTCAAGCTTTCATAGCTTTTATTGCACAAGCATTTTGGCAACTTTGCGTGTGGCAAACTTAATAGAACACAGACGTTGGGAAATGAATGCAAATGAATCGCATTACATTCGTAGGAGTGGGTACGAGATGCAATGATCAAGTTCTGAATTTCTCCCGCAGGGGCGGCAACTTCAAAGCAAAATTATGAGCTGTTTCGAAAGATTTGGAGAAAACTTGTATCACCGATCCAATCGGACGCGTCCGAACCAACAATAAGTGAAAATACAAAAAGGTGGCATATTCCCTTTGACGCGCGCTCGGGTGGGTGTCAAACTGACCCTCCGAATAATTTTTCCAGAATGATTTCCGAACGGTGCCACGTAGCCGCTCCAAACTTTGCATAGCTGTAGAGAGTTGAAAAGCGGATCGTTTGATAAAAAAGGGATGCACCTTGTAAGGTCACTGACGTATGGAAGGACAAAGTTAAGCCATGGTTGTCAGCGAAGGTCATTTCTAGGGGAATCGTTCAATGTAATGCAACAACGGAGTGTTAGGCGAAGCCGTACATATCTGAGAAGGTTTCTTGAGTAACAGATCAAGTAAATTTAGAAACAACCGATGCAATTGAATTAGTCAGGCACGAAGATCAAAACGAGGTCAAAACTAACCTGCTTTTTCCCTCGAATTTGGTTTCATGGGGTAGTTTCTGGTGCTTATTTCGAATCTATTGATGACACGTACGGCAACAGACATGTTTCATGGTCTAAAAGAATCAAAGTAGGTCGCTGACCTCAAATGACCCAGGTCAACAATTTGTTTAGGAACATGCGGCCTGGCGTAATCCCTGACGCTTATTTGGATGGTAGTACAGGAGCAATCTCGTAGATATGTTGCCATCTGGGCCCCGTAAAGGTCAAAGTAGGTCGCTGACCTCACTGACGTTTTGCGTAGAACATATATCTAGCTTTACGGCGGTTGCATAAGAATGTCTGAGGGCACTTGACACACCAATTTGGAGTTTGACCTTGTTGGACCTTATCTGACCTCAGGATCCTATCAAGACCTTATCTGTCCTGGAAACCTCAGATTTTGGCACAAGCGAGCTCACGTACAGGTTTATGCACTCTGTGAGTTTGGCGTTTCTAGCAATCTTAGTTATCGATATCGCAGGGGAATCAAATTGACCCCCACCCGAGCGAAGGGTATTCAGCCGGCCACCCGGGCACGTGTTAAAGGTCGCAGACCCGTCATATTTCGTGACATTCCCGCCGCCGGTCAGTCGATGCGCCTCAGTTTATACGTAGCTCTCGTCGCCTGTAAGTCCATGCATGCCTTTGACTCGGGCTTCTGGGAAGATTTCAGTTACCTCCAAGCTCTCCGCCTTGTGTTTTGGGCTGCATTGCTATTGAGGCTCACGTGACAGTTAACCCTGGCCGCCGCTGATGGGCTCAGAAACAGGTCAACTGTGCTACCCACCTACGGTTCTCAATTGTAAGCTGTTAAGACGGCAAATCAGAGCACCTGCTTTCTTTTATCTTTGTTCTCAAGGCTCAGTTTGTGCCCGCGCTAAAGAAGATAGCATTGCCAGCCGCGGTAGGTGAGTATCTGTCGTACAATCTGCCGGTCAGATAACAGGAGATCTAAGAAGCGAGCGGCCATTGTCAGTGCCTGGCCAGCCTCTGAGCTCGAGGTCACGCACGCCGCCGCCGCATCCCCGGGGCGTTGTGTGGAAGAAGTGCTGCGTCTTCTGCCCCGGAGAGCCCCGCAGCGCTGTGAGTCTGCGGTGATACGCCGGCGATGAGACAGGTCCTTCTCGTGTGTTGAGTTCATGCTGCTGTGAATGCTCTGAGGTGTTAATTAGCCCCGTTCGATGAAGTCCACCTGTTTGTGAGACACCATCGGCTGAGTGGTCCCATCTTACTCATCAAATTTGCGTGACTGAGTTTATTCCGTCTTAAAAGGTGTGGATTACTGGTCCTCCGCGATTGGGTGCTCCACCCACCTTACGATCTAGGTTGTCTGTCGGGAGTCGGCACAGTTCACGTAGCCCCCTTGTCCGGTGGGGGGAGGGGAGTTAGCCAGACTCCATCTGTTCCGGTGCCGCCTCTGCGTGGTTGCCGTGGCGGCCGGGCGTGACCGGTCGGCGGGGGCGCCGTACCGTGCCACAGACCGCCGGCTCGGCCGACCCCCTCCCCGCTGGATGTGGAGCGCGGCCGGCGGCCGGCCGCCCGGCGGTGGAGGGCGGCGGGCCGCCGGCCGGTGCAGCGTCGGTCCGCCGTCGTCGCCGGCCATGTGAAGGGCCTACCAAGCGGATAGCTCGTCGCGTTTTCAGTTTAGATTCAAGAAATCATCCAGGCAAAAGCCAGGTGGCCTGGCTTGACCCATACCGTCTGGGCTCAGGGCTGGGCCAACTAAAATCGCGAGCAGGGCGAACATGATCGGCTTTGGTCGCCGAGCTTTGGACCCAGTCTCTGCGAAACCCCTGCTTCCACTGCTGAATGCCTGGCGACCTCCATTGCACCCAGTCCTCTTGCCGCCGCGCAGTCGCTCTCTGTGGACGCCAACTGGACGCCCGTTTTCCCGGGACGCCCACGTCGGCAGGAATATGTGCACGGCTGTGTTGGCCGGTGCACCGCCGCGGAAACGCCGGGGGCAAACGAGGTCAGCCGAGGCGAGCCGTGCCGCGTGCCAGCTTTACGGCCGGCGGCGAACAGTGAACCCGTGTTGCTGTGCACCGGGCCACATCAGCGGCGCGTCGCTGACGCCTCGGGCTGCGCCGCCCACGCCACCAAGGCAGCTCCACTCCACGATTCCAAGGTCATCTGTACGCTCTGTGCGGACACTGGCAGGGGTTCGCCGCAGAGTGTGCGGTGAAGTTGTCTACGTTCCTCGCTTGAAAGACGTCGCGAGCGCCGGCGCCGCCGCGCGTCCGCCCACCCGGCGGCCCATTTCTGGCCGAGTCGGGAGGCAGCTCGTGCTTCCGTGGCCGCCGGCGGTGGCGGGCCATTGCGGCGCCGGCGGCGGACTGGCGCGCTGCGCCGGAATCGGCGCAGCGGCCGGATGTTTGGAGGGCGTGTATTTGCCGCTGCCGGCGCCGCCGAGCGACCGGAGGTGGTGCGGATAATATGGTGTTACAGTCGGCGGCTTCACAGACAACCTGATGTTTGACGGATGCACAGGGCGGGCCTGTCTCTAGACGCCAACTTCAATGTGGCAGTGAAATATATCGATGATGGTGTCACAGACAGCACCAGGCCGCTGGTCCCTCCCCTTCCTTTTTAACTTCCCGTACCTGACATTGGGGGGGGGGGGGGGACCCAGCCGTTTTAGTGTTTGTACTTGTCACGGCTTTTTGTGCGCCGTTTTTGCGTTCACATCTCTGCCGGCCGGATGTGTCGACTTCCGGCATCGGTGCCGTCGACGTCGGCGACGTGTGACACATCGTTGCCGGGCCGCAGGACGCGACCGGGCCGGACCGCAAGTCGGTGGTGTTCAGCGAGCCCGAGACGCAGCGGCCAGACCCGGCCACTAGCTGCGCCATCTCCACCACCAGCATCGACGGCGGCTACCAGGGCGACAGCGAGTTTGACACAGGTACCGGTCGGCAGCGGGCGGGACAGGGGGATGGCGGCCCTGCGGCCTGCGCCCGGCGCCATCTGTGGCGTCAGCGGATCTGGCGACGTGGGCGGTCAGATGGGCAGCAGAGCTAGTCCGAGTGGCACGCTTGTGTGGTGGTGAGGGACGTCGTTTCATTTCTGGTTGGCCGTATTTGCTTGCATGTTTATTTGTTCTTCTGCCATGTGGACGTACCATTGTTTTCCGAGTCATACCGTCAAAATGAGCAGCCAGATATGTCAGAAACACCGTGGGTATCTTGCTCTTCTCTGGTGTAAATGCAAGTTAAGTCGTCGGTAGAATGAAACGCGGCAGTTCGGTTGGCTGGTTTCGAATTAGAAGCAACAAAAAGCTTCTTGGCATCCCGTTGCATCGCGTTTCAAAACAAGCACTTATGTCAGAGGAGACGGACGAGGTAAACACTGCACAACCTTGGGAACATCTTGGCGGCATATGGCTGTCACTGCCGCGTCGGGTATGTTGAAGCTCGTCACCGTATCATTGATCTCCAGCATTCTGTCTCGAAGGATTTTTGTTACGAATCGCAGTGTCCCACGGTGACAGTCGCGGCTTGCTAGGTGATGCGAGCGCAGTACGAATAGCTTCAGCACCAGATCAGTCCGATAACCGTCTGCTGATGGTGAGAGCTGCCCGTCGACTCCAGAGTTGCCTGGTGACTAGATGACCTGACCTGGGAGTCCGCCGCGGCCCGCCCCGCCTGGTGGTCGAATGTCGCGCTGATCGGAAAGCTCCTGAGCACCGAGCAGCAACCCTCGGCACCAGGCAGCACCCCTCAGCGCCCCTTAGCACCGAGCCGCCCCCCTCAGCACCGAGCAGCGCCCCTCAGCACCAAGCAGCTCCCCTCAGCACCAAGCAGCGCCCCTCATTACCGAGCAGCGCCCCGCAGCACCCCGCAGCACCGGGCAGCTCCTCAGCACCGAGCAGCACCCCTCAGCGGCCCTCAGCACCGATCAGCGCCCCTCAGCGCCCCTCAGCACTGAGCAGCGCCCCTCAACACCAGGCAGCACCCCTCAGCGCCCCTCAGAACCGAGCAGCGCCCCTCAGCACCGAGCAGCGCCCCTCAGCACCAGGCAGCACCGAGTAGCTCATCAGCACCGAGCAGCGCCCCTCAGCGCCGAGCAGCACCCCTCAGCACCGGGCAGTACCCCTCAGCGCCCCTCAGCATCGAACAGCATCCCTCAGCACCAAGCGGCGCCCCTCAGCACCAAACAGCGCCCCTCAGCACCGAGCAGCACCCCTCAGCGCCCCTCAGCACCGAGCAGCTCCTCAGCACCAAGCAGCGCCCCGCAGCACCGAGCAGCGCCCTGCAGCACCGAGCAACGCCCCTCAGCGCCGAGCAGCACCCCTCAGCACCAGGCAACACCCCTCAGCGCCCCTCAGCATCGAGCAGTATCCCTCAGCACCAAACAGCGCCCCTCAGCGCCCCGCAGCGCCCCGCAGCACCGAGCAGCGCCCCGCTCGGAGGCGCCAGCTCCGCCAGCGGCGTGCACAGACGTCCACACGAACAGATTGGGGTGATGCCGCGAGCGGCGGTGCCAAATGGATATGCAGCCGGAGTGCTGGATGTGTAGGTTTCCTGATCCCACTGATCACGTGCCGTCTCCACCGCCGGTGAACCGTGTTTTGTGTCGATGTCCCCCTCCAGTGACCTTTCAACTACTTTGTTTTCGTGAGGTTCCAGGACCGGCAATTACACTCGTGCCGTAGACCGCACGATCGTGCGTTATGCAAGACGCAATTGTGGCTGGATGTGTTCGTTTGCGTCCGCCTCAGCATCCGCACTAGAGTCACCCCAGGAATTTAGATCCATTGGAACACAGACGTGTAGTTCTACCAGAACGAGATCAGAGTTAACCTGGTATTTCCGATGACAAATACGAAGTCATATAGCTAACACATTCAAATTTAATATTGGTAATTGCCTAAGTTGTTTAATGCATTTGCGACAAATATGCACGTAGATAAGACAGTTGAACTAGCTGTATTCCTCGTAGAAAAACCCGAAGAATGGAGAGATAGATGCTGTGATATTTCGGCAACATACCTTTGTCGAAACAAATATTAGTAGTCGAAACTGATATTTGTTTCGATAAAGGCATGTTGCCGAAATATCAACGCATCTACCTCCCCATTCTCTTGTTTTTTTTCACAAAGAATAAGGTTATTACTATCGTCCTATTAATGTTGATGCTATTGGAATATTTTGAATACACTAGAATATTTTGCAAGCTTATACACGTGTCCTTAGGTTGGTTGCTCACATCTAAAGACGTCACTAAAGGATCGAAAGAATCCTGAAAACTCACTATCACCCTGATCAAAGCTAACCGCCCAACCCCAACAAACCGTAACTGCTTGTTCAAATGAACACGGTGCCGCTGTAAGCGGGGTCATATCTTCTGCAGATACGTCACGTTCCGGCACGGAGCACCTTACGTGCTCCAGCACATGCCGTGCGCAGTGCGGTGCGCGGTGCAGTTACCCTGCTGCGCCGAATGTGGCCGTGCCCAATGGCGCCAGCAGGTGGAGCAAAATCAAGTGGTCAAATAATCAGCCTGTGGCAATCTATCAGTCGTTTCGAAACGAGATCGTTGGCTCTTATAAGAGCTGCTTAAGGATGTGATCGATAATTGCAGCGATATTACTCCACCATGTGCGCCCACGGCGCTCAGTGGACCAACTGGTTGCATCACTGTACACCCATGTGCACCCATGTACATCCACACACTCAAGACGGGTGAAACCATACACCCGCGGGACACAGCCTCTTGCGGGAAGAGACGTCGATATTTCAAGACTTTTGCGCGTCGACTAGAGGCAAACTCACCGACCTCGCGTCGTGGAACTGCTTGCGCCTTCCGTTGTGGACGAGGTACGCTGATCGCTTCGCTGAACTCAGTTTGGCATCGCGACCAGCGCCGCAGATCGCGGTCGTCTCCGCCGGTCGGCCTCGCGCGGCGGCCACGCTCGGAGTCTGTGCGCGCCGGCCGAGACTTCGCCTCAGTGGCGGTGCCACGCGCCGCACAATGCTGCCCATTAGGGGCCGGCAGCTGGCAGCGCGGCGCCAGTCGCACGGTGAATGGCACAGCGCGCTGGGCCTCGCACAGGGCCCCTTCTGTTCGCCTCTCGCGTATCGGACGTGATTTGCTGGCCGCCGACTTCAATGGGTGCTTGTGTCGCGGATGCGCAGGACATTTGCCTCTATCAGGGAGGCATCGGATCTTTCTCCTGGCCGTCCGAGATGGGCGGCCAACCGCTTGGATATCTGCCTACGATCGGACTATTACTGGAAAATCAGAACTGCCCATGGACCACCCGAAGACGATCGATCCGAGACCGCGGAGAAGACGGTCAAGTGGCCCAGAGTCCGGCGTTTCTCATTGGCTACGCCTTGAGACGCAGCACGGCTCTCAGCCGCCATGCTGTTCAAAGAAGACTCGTGGAATCGCTTGAAACGTTCCTTTGCGGTTTCTGCGCTTCACGAGATCCTCAGCATCGAACGTGAAAAGGACTCATGCCATTCGGCACGCAGCTTCAGCGTGGTCGGTACGCCGACTATTCTCGGCTCACCAGCGGCCGTGCTCCGTTATTCCGTTTTCCGCACGCCGGTGTCATTGTCCGACAACAATAATGACGGGCCAGGTGTGCGTGTAATTGGCCTCAATCGCGGCGGGGCAGGGCGGGGCCTTCGGACACCAACAGCACGCCGCCGGTGTCTCCTCTGTTGCGGGCGGCGCGACCCGTGCGAGAGAAGCCGATGGGTGCTCGGTGGGAGGCGACACCCGATCATGGGTGCGAAGAATCATCAGCTGGTCCGGGGTGCGGAGGACAACAGACGTGGGATTGTTAAGAATGGCGGTACCTGGTGCGAGGCGTTGTGTTCAGCAGCGCTGATGTGAGGGTGAAGGGAACAGCAGAGGCTGACTGAAATGTAGGGAACGGCGGTTGAAACAGGTGTGCAGGAGACGACGATTGACGTGGCTAGTACACTGCACGACAGAGGGCTGCAGTTCGCGCGGAAACATGTCCCCAAGACCTGAGCACACCACCAGCGCGACGTCCTCGCTTCGTCGGGCCCTGTGTTACCGTGCCGAGCCGCACCGGACCGGCCAGCCGGGGGCGCCGAGGGTGTGGCCCTGCTCAGCGGCGCAGCACGGGCGCGCGCCAATCTCCGGGCGTGGTTACGGCCGTCTGGCGGCAACCTTCGCCGGACGACGAGGACCCGGCCCCGGAGCTGGTCCGATCCAACGGCGCCCGGCCACGGAGCCGGTCCGATCCGCCATCACCCGGCCACGGAGCCGGTCCGATTCACCGTCACCCGGCCACGGAGCCGGTCTGATCCGCCGTCACCCGGCCACGGAGCTGGCCCGATCCGCTGGCACCCGGCCACGGAGCCGGTCCGATCCGCCGGCGCTCGGCCACGGAGTCGGTCCGATCCGCCGGCGCCCGACCCCGGAGCCGGTCCGATCCACCGGCACCCGACCCCGGAGCCGGTCCGATCCACCGGCACCCGACCCCGGAGCCGGTTCGATCCACCGGCACCCGACCCCGGAGCCGGTCCGATTCACCGTCACCCGGCCACGGAGCCGGTCCGATCCGCCGTCTCCCGGCCACGGAACCGGCCCGATCCGCCATCACCCGGCCCCGGAGCTGGTCCGATCCGCCGGCGCCCGGCCCCGGAGCCGGTCCGATCCGCCGGCGCCCCGCACCAGTGACGGCCGAGTGATCTATGCCCGTTGGGACGCGGACGGAGACATGGTGCACTGAATACGTCCGCTGGCGTGTGAAGATTTAGAGCAGGGCGGAGATGTCTATGGAGGCGCGACGCTCGGTCCTCGCAGCGATCGTGTCGTTCTGACGAGGACCGCTCAAAGCAGCGCTGATTGGTTGCGACATCACAGGTGGTTCGAGTAGATCAATGCTCGTTCACTGCCGTGTGTGTTGTGTGTTACGCTGGCGCGGTCTTACCACACAGGACTCGCAACCACGCGTGGGCGCGGTTACCGACGACCAGAAAATGTTCAGCCCGTGCCCGCTCGCGACGGAAAATTGATTCTAGAGATTAAGGTAGTGAACACAACGAATCAAACCGGCCTTGAGCCACGCTCCCTGTATGTTCCCACGTCTATGGTCGTGCGCCCATCCTGTCAAGCTGCGAAACTACACAATAAAGCGATTATGCGATTGGTGTCCCGTGCTCTCTTATCAACCCCCCAATGCACTCGCCGTACCATACAGAAGCGTTCGTTTTCGTCCGCATCTGCCTATCCGTGGCGCAAATGGGAGCAGATCGTGGATAACGACAAATCCGTTTCCGCCTGTGCGTGGACAAGTTCGTTGAAATTCCACGTGAAATTCCACGTGGGGTGGCCGTCACGGATCCACCCGGCTCGCCGTCGCGTTCGTCCCCATGTTTGGCCCAGTTTTGCTCCCTGCACTGGCCGGCTCACCTGTCGCGATCGATACAGAGACCGCCCGGGCAGGGGTGCGGCGGAGCGGGACAGCGTGACGGCCAACAGCTGATCACCTAGCGCACCTGGTGTCCCGGGCCCGATAACAAAGGCGCAGGGCTGTCTGTCAGGTGCGGAGCTAACTGTCAGGTGTGGAGATGACTGTCAGGTGTGGAGCCGACTGTCTGGTATGGAGCTGTCTGTCTGGTATGGAGCTGACTGTCAAGTGTGGAGCTGACTGTCAGGTGTGGAGCTGACTGTCTGGTATGGAGCCGACTGTCAGATGTGGAGCTGACTGTCAGGTGTGGAGCTATTGGTCAGGTGTGGAGCTGACTGTCAAGTGTGGAGCTGACTGCCAGGAGTGGAGCTGTCGGTCAGGTGCGGAGCTGACTGTCAGGAGCGGAGCTGCCGGTCAGGTGTGGAGCTGACTGTCAGGAGTGGAGCTGTCGGTCAGGTATGGAGCTGGCTGTCAGATGCGGAGCTGACTTTCAGGTGTGGAGCTGTCGGTCAGGTGTGGAGCTGACTGTCAGGTATGGAGCTGACTGTCAGGAGTGGAGCTACCGGCCAGCTGTGGAGCTGTCGGGTGTGGAGTTGACTGTCAGGTGTGGGGCTGACTGTCAGGCGTGGAGCTGACTGTCAGGTGTGGAGCTGACTGTCTGGTATGGAGCTGACTGTCTGGTATGGAGCTGACTGTCAGAAGTGGAGCTGTCGGTCAGGTGTGGAAGTGACTGTTTGCTGTGGAGCTGACTGTCTGGTATGGAGCTGACTGTCAGGTGTGGAGCTGACTGTCAGGTGTAGAGCTGCCTGCTGGGTGTGAAGCGAATGCATGTATGGAGCTGTCATGTGTGGAGCTGACTGTCAGGTGTGGAGCTGACTGTCATGTGTTGAGCTGTCACGTTTGTGGCTGTGAGGCGCGCTCCGTCCGTTGGGCGGCCGCCTATTTTTGACAGTTGTTCCAAGCTATACCGGATGGGACGCACTTTGGTGGCGCGGACACTTCTCTGTGTGGCGTGACCGCGTGAGCCTCGCTCTCTGGGGTTTTCCTGACATCATCGCGGGGCGTGAAGCTCGAACTAAAGCCCGGCCTGTTTGGGTCTGGGGGTAAATAATCCTCCTCTGAGAAGGTCTAGACAAGGTTCGGCGATGTGACGAAGCCAAGCAATCAATGTTTGCAGCGGTTCGTTCGAATGACGAGTGTGTGTTCGAGGGCCGGGTGAGGCTGCGGATTATCATGAGGTCATCTATGATAGCAAAGGTTTTGCCAGGCTCGAGATGTTGCGACTTGCCTATCTCTTCAGTGATGCAATCGTGCCAGTAGGTGCGATGTTTCGTTGGCGTTACCCGTATGTAGTGCGTCCAGATTTCAATGCGAAACGTAAGTGACCCAGCCATCCTACTCTGGTGCTATCTCGGGGTCCTTTCGACTGCAAGCACAAAAAGGAACCGCTAACCAGCGATGATATCACTAATTTTGCGAGAAAAGCTGCCGTCACAGAAACGACCTTCACGCTCGGAACCGGTACCTGGAGGAAGGCAAGCTTGTTTTGTGTCTGCCGGTGCCGCACGGCGCGGCCGGGGAGCGGTGGCGCCGTTCGGGTCTGGCGGTCGCGACAACACGCTCCGTTTGGGGACACAGCCGGCGGAGCACGCAATCAGTAGCGTCGCACCGCCGCCGCCGCCGCACAATCCAGGGGCGCCGGTACAAAGGCCGCGCGGCGCCCGGACAGTGCGGCGATGACTGGGAGCGCCGCTTTCGAGCCGTGGGCGGTCACGACGCGCCTGTGTCGCTCCAAGCCGGCCGAATCGCGGCCGAATCGGTTCCGGTGCCGCTGCCGGCCGGGCTGCCGGCTGCTGGCGGCGGCAGCTGGCCGCATTGGGACGCTCCGCGACCGCATTGAAAAGACGCGTTGTCAGCGGCGCGTGCAAGTTTGGTGTTTGGACCAAAGTTCCGAGGAGCTGGATTATGTTTGTGCTATGGGCAGCCTTGACAAGTGGAAGTTAAAATGCACTTCTGGAAGTGCGCTTAATGTTTTCAATGCTGCCAAACTCAGTCCACGGCGCGAAAACAGTTGTAGCGAAAAGAAAACGAGTAAACAGCCTGCTCGAAAGATTCATTACTACCGTGCCGAACACTCAGCAAAGTCTATACGTGTCCTGCAGAAAGTGTGACCAGCGCAAGCGTGCTCCCCAGTCCGGAGATTCATACGTCGCCAGTCACCCCGATTGCTGCCGCCCAGGCGGTGGCCGTGTCCTTGTCTGGGCTGCTTGAGTGCTGATGCCTTAGATTGGCGCCCGGCCCAGCTGACCGCGATTTAGTGCCGCCCACGTGCGATTGTGGTCGGCCGTTTGGCACGCGGCCGGCTGAGGTGGTGCATACTGTGGTGACGTTACTGTCTGAGTGGTCTGCCCTTCGACCCCGGCCGGCCGCCCGCTTGGCGCGGACGCTGAGAAACGAGCCTCGGTCGCAAAGAAGGCGTATGTATGCGAAATGGCTACGATATTTCGGTGCACGCTAGCGGAAGTCGGTTGGCTGGTCTGACTTTGGCATGACCCGCCTCAACACGGCCTTAAAATGCACAACGAGCTTGCATTCCGGAAGCAACATTACGCGCCTGATCTGTGTGTTTCAACCCACCCGCCGTCACTGACCTGTGTGCTCAGGAATATCCTGTTTCGCCGACACCTTTGATCCGACCTACTTGACCTTACACAGGTGACACATCGTCCTTGCCACTGCCACTCGTCGTGCGACCCGCTCCGACCCGCTCTGACCGCCGCTTCCCCCGTCGCCAGGCACGCCAAGCGAGGACCCGGCGCGGCCGCCGCCCCGGCTGGACGTACTCACCGACTCGGACTTCTGCAGCGAGGGCGCCGCCGGCACCGAGAGCGAGGCCGAGCACCGGCTCACCGACGACATGGAGTCAAGCGGCGTCTACTCGGACGCCGAGTCGCGCCGCTCGGCCGAGCCCGACCGCGAGCCGGTCAGTGAACTCGCGCTGGGACACTCCGAGTCGGGCAGCTCTGACTCTGGGTTGGGGACGTTCTGAGTCGGCCAACTCTGACTGAGTGGGGGTGGGGGAGGGGAGGTTCGGGGCTGGGGGCCTGAATCGGCCAGCCCTGGCGCTTGGTGGGGCACCCTGGGTAGCTCAACTAATTCAACTTAATGCCTGTAGTTAACGAAAAGCTTGTTATCATGATAAGTCAGTTGACTCAGAATGATTGGTGTTATCCGAGAGGTGACTCTCAGTAGGATCTAGGAGTCAGCCCATATGCTCAGCATGACTTCAGAGGCGGCCAAATCGGTCTCTTCAGTCAGCGTGATATCAGAGCCGATCAGTTCCCTCGACATGGAGCCTTTCGTGCCGGTCATTTGAGTTGGGTGCTAGACACTCTGTTGACTTACAGTTAACCTAAGCTGCTCAGCTGAACACGGAGTGTGAACGAGAGTCAGTTGCTCGCTGAGTATAACCGACAGGAACTTGCTCGGTTTCTGGACTTAGCTAAGCACCGAACCCTGTATTCGGACAGATGATCAATTGATCTGACGCGAGGTAGGTCAGGTGATCACCCGATCTGACATTGATACACCCAGCTGATCACGGAATCGGACCCGAGCCTGGCATCGGCCCGACATAGTCTGATCACGCAACCGTCTCCACGTTCGGCGCCCGCGGCGGTTTTTAAACTTTGGCGGCTTGTCCGGGCTTTAAAGAGAGGCGATGCCCGCCTCTGAGGTTCTTCTGAGAATGGCACGGCGCAAACTGTTCTCCGAGCTGTCACTGACCACGTCAGTCTGTCACTGACCACGTCAGTCTGTCACTGACCACTGACCACGTCAATCTGTCACTGACCACTGACCACGTCAGTCTGTCACTGACCACGTCAGTCTGTCACTGGCAACGTCCATCAACTCGTCTTGTGCGCTGCAGAGGTTCAGAAGTGCCGCACGGGAGCGGGACGGCGGGTGCACGCGAGCGCGGTTAGGTAACAAGGCGCAATGCGGCCGGGGCGGATTCCGGCGGCGGCAGGGTTCCCATTCTCACGGTGTCACCGGAACACTGCTCGCCGCGTTGTGCCTGCGTCGTGTCCGCGCGTTGTTTGTCTGACCGTACCGCCGTCCGGCAGATCGAGGCGATCGCGGAGACGGAGGAGACCACGCTGTCGCCGGTGCTGGAGACTCCGGCCGAGGAGCAGTCGTCGCCGGCCGGCGCCGCCGCCCCCGCTCTGCCTGCCTCGCCCACGCCGTCCGGCGCGGCGGCGGCGCCGGAGCAGCCCGTCGCCCGCCGCCGCCGCGACCCCATCCCCAGCCACGTGGTGCGCGCGCGCGAGCTGCCCGTCAAAAAGGACCCGATCAAGATGAACCACCCTCTGCCGCGCCGGAACGTACAGAGCAAGCTGCGCTCCATGCTGGAGGCACCGACGCCGGCGCCCGAGGGGCGGCGCCAGCAGCGCGCGCAGCCCAAGGGTCGCTGGGACGCGGTCATGAGCCGCATCGAGCAGAACAAGAACGAGGAAAAGACGCGACCGCGGCGCGAGGTCAAGAGTCGGCTGTACGAGGGCGTGACGCCCGCGAAGGGCACGCAGAACGGCTCCCGACGCAGCCTCGTCAGGTGGGTGATCGGAGGAGAGGTTGCCGGACGGTGCCCGCCGAGCTTCACACCGCGTTCCCGGGGAACGGAAGGGATGCGAGATGCTGTGTTGGGCTCAGCGTGAAGTGGTCAGGGAGGCTTTAAAGGTGGAGCTGCCGCACTGTGTGCTCCCACCGAGACGTGCTTTGGATGAGGACACGCGCGTCTCCCACGTCACTGGCATCCGCCAGCTGCCCGGGAGGCGCTGCTGGCGCTGAACTGGCGCTCGTTTCGCTGTGTTTCGCTCCAGCCTGCAGCCTGCTCGCCGCGCTGCCCTATCACCTCCAGCCATCCCGGTTACCCAACAGAGGCCTCGCCTACACCGTATTACAGCCGATGACCTGATGAGTGTCGGCAGGCAGTCCCGGCACCGCTTTCGTAATATCCACCACGTCGTAAATCACAGCCATTATCAGAAATAAACAAATCAATGTCGCGTAGTAGACGCCGTAACGGGGGGTTGGAGAGGCTCTTAATAGGTTTTCGGCGCGACCTGGCGCGTCGCGCACCATATTCTGGATACCGCCCGCCGGCCCGTGCTGTCCCAGCCCAGCTCAGCTCAGCTCAGCTCGGTCCGCCCGGTCCGATCCGACGAGGCCTCGCACTCCGGGAACTTCCGGGCGCCGCGTCGGAGTACAGTTTCACTCGCCTCCTCCGGTGCGGCGGGCCCCGAGAGCGCGTGTAACTCGAGACTGCGTGAGACCCTGCGGTGAGGAGCCGCCGACCCGTGGTCCCGTGCTTGGTGCGGGCTTTGGACCGCCGACACCGCAATAGCCACTTGTTTACCGGTCTTCCGCGCGGCATTGGCGTGCAGCGTTGTAACGCACCCTGCTGGGATGAGCTGGCTTCGCACACCGCTGCCGCCGGTGGCGTAAACGCGTGACGTTTGGTTGTTGGTTGCCACTGACTGGAAGTAACGGTACTCGTCGCTGGCGGAGGATTTTCTGGACGGGCAGGATAAATGTCGGCAAATGCTCGTAGCCCTTGCAGTTAAAAAGTCCCGGGATTACCAAGAGTGGAGGTTGCGGCTTGTGTGGCAATGCCACTTGCATTCGTTTATGTTAATCACAGCGTCCTAATCCCACACATTGCTGCTGTTCGGGCCATCTAAAAGCCGGCTCGTGCGCCCTTACCATTGACGCTGCATCGGGGCGGCAGGGCGGCCGGAGCGGCCACAGCCGCCACTCGTCGCGCGCGTGACTGCCGGTGGCGCAGCCGGGCCCTGTCATGCACGCCAGAGACACAGCTGCAGCCGACCCCGTCACGCCCGAGTCAGTGACGGCTCGCCAGAGGTCGGCGACCGTGGCCGGACGGCGCGGCGCCGGCGCGACCCGGACTGGGGCGAGAAGCCAGGGGGCCGACGGCGGATTAAACGGCATCATCTAACTGACGCAGGCAGGGACAGGTCGCCTGGTGTCCAAACCTGTCGGGATCGCGCCCAGACTGGATTAGGCGGGTCATTCAGTGTTGGAGTTCCCTAGAGATCCACCGCCTTCAGGCTCGGCCAAGGTCACATAGTGATGTCCCAACGCTAAACACCTGGGCATCTTGGCTGGAGGAAGCAGGTTTTCCCCAACGCGGCAAAGGAGCTGCGGCAGCCGTCTGGCAGCCATTCGGCGCTGTGCAGAGCCGTCAGACTCGGGTGCGTGACTGCCGGGGCGTGCTAGACTGCTGAACCAGTCACGACTGCCGATGGCTTCCAGAGAGGCGATGGCGCCACCCAATGCTGCCAGACGGCGGGAGCTGCCGCGGGTGGCTGCCAAACGCGGTCGGCTGGCACCATAAACAACTGAACGCAAACGACGGACACGGCTGTCTGTGAGAGACCTGGGAGTTTGATGTCCCAGAGACGCATCGCGGACTAGGAATAACACCGTGGCATGACGTCTGTTGTGGCAGCTGGCCGCCGTCGTGCTGCGTGCTGTAAGCCGCATGCCGAAGGTGTCTCGAGTCCGCGTGTGTCGTATGTTGGAGGTGACACGTAATCCTCCAATGTCTACAAAGGTGATCGTAAAGGGAATGTGCTGACGCCCGTCGCTGAGAGTGGCTGCGCTCTTTTTTAAGAAGGTTGAACGGTATCACTGAAGACTGGTAGAGTGATCTTCATCTTTAGTGTATCCGTGTACGCCAATAGCGCGCGAACAGAAGTATGGCCCCACTAGGTCAGAAGTGGGTTTGCCCGACTGCCCACGTACCGGCTGCCACGCCCACGGAGGGTGCCGCCACACCGCAGATGTGGGTCAGGTCAGGTCAGGTCAGGCAGCCGTGGGAATCATCACAAACCCCGCCGACGGGCGTGTTTTCGCCGCGTCGCTCCGAGCGCTGGCCCGGCCGAAAAAACGCGTTCGTTCGACGGCTCCATGTTTTCGGTTCGGCTAAAACAACACGGCGGCCAGGTCGGTGCGCTCGCCGGCCGACGGCGTCACCTTGCGCCGGTTTCTGGGCCAAGTTGATGGCGAGTTTGTTTTCGAGCCGCGCGCTGCTTGGCGGACGCACTGCCAGCGCTAAACAAGCTGCCCGCGCGCCGGCGGCGGCCTCCGACAGCGCGCCGAGAACACTGCGGCTCCGATGACGCCGGGCGGGCGGCGCGTTCGACGACCGCTCGGTCTGTAGAGAGGACCGCTCAACTAACGCACGGCCACGCGCGAGGGGCACCCGAGTCCTGCCTGGAATACGGACACGCCAGCCGCGCGTGCCCAGTGGTATGGTCCCCAACTCATGGCTGGTGCCGGCTGCCGCGCATCGGACGTCTGCCGGGCCGTGGTTTGTGCCCTCCGCCGCCCCGGCATCCAGGACCCGCCGCTGCTTCCGAACTGAGTTGTCTGGAATTTGGCATCCGTTCTGGGACGACGGTTATAGGAGCTGGCTTTGCTAGCAAAATATCAAAGATTATAGCGGCACAGCTCGATACTGTTCGTGGTAGAGGCAACTCGCTGATCAGCTGTGTCGAGAAGCCTATACATCTACTCCTATACGTGTACTTCTATACATCTACTCCGGCAACACACCGCCTGCCACGCCCATGGACGGTGCCACCACACCGCTGATGTGGAACAGTTCAGGTCAAGTCAGGCGATCACAGCGATCATCACAAACCCCGCCGGTGGGTGACGCGCGCTATCCATAGTACGTCATCACTCACCCCTGGTCTGTAAGTTCCTGTGCCATGAGTTTCCGGTCGGTGAGTTCCCGATGCGTGAGTTCCGGTCGGTGAGTTCTCGGTGCGTGAGTTCCGGTCGGTGAGTTCCCGGTGCGTGAGTTCCGGTCGGTGAGTTCCGGTCGGTGAGCTCCGGCCCGTGAGTCCCCGGTGCGTAGGTTCCCAGCGCATGCTCCGCCAGTCCCTGTCCGATGCGTGGGCCGCGAGGGGCAATGTTGAGGCAGCATTGCCCGGGCCCCGGTCCGTGAGCACGCGGTCCTTTGTTATAGAGTGCCGACATCCGGCTGGTATTCCATGGTCCGGGTGCCTCCGACTCCGGCCATTGGTCTTTGACTGTCCCGCCGTGTAGTCCGTGATCCGTGAGTGTTTGTGGTCCGTGAGTGCCGTGCCCGTGGTCCCCGAGTGCCGGGTCCATGATCCGCGAATGCTCGTGGTCCATGAGTGCTGGGTCCATGGTTCGTCAGTGCCGGGCCCGTGGTCCGTGAGTACTGCGTCCGTGGTCCGTGAGTGCCGTGCCTGGGTCTATGAGTGATGCGTCCGTGGTCCGTGAGTGCTGTGTCCATGATCCGTGAGTGCCCGCGCCCGTGGTCCGTGAGTGCCCGCGCCCGTGGTCCGTGAGTGCCGTGCCCGTGGTCCGTGAGTACCTGCGCCCGGTCCGCGATGTGCCCCGCGCCCTCCGCCTCGCTCCGCGCCTGGACTACCGCCCGGTATGGGGACACGTAGCCGAAATAGGCCGTCCACTGTCTAGTGTGAGAACGGGTCCGCGCGCCGCGCGTGGGGCCGTCCACGGCCGCGGCGCACCTGCGGCGAACAGTGGCGCGGCGCGCGCCGCCACGTGCTGGCACAATTAATTCGCCGGACGCCGTCTGGCCGCCGGAGGCGGACTGCGGTCGGCTCGTGCCGGATGTGCGAGCCGGCGTTCCCGACCGAATGACGGAAGGCAACCGCTTCCGTCGAAAAGTTTTATTTTCTGAGCCAAATTTACCGGTATTTCTTTCAGAGTGCGTATGTTGATGTTTTCAACGTTGCTCTCGTCTTGACAATCGGCATATCCGATGATATTCCCATTTGGAAGCTGAAAAGTAATGCGTTAACTTCCAACACAATTACGAAAGGTATATGTCAAGGGAACTTCCGACCATTCGCTACGTAGGATGGGACCAGAAGATTTGATTACATTGTTACGGATTGTTGCGAGATGGTAGCTTGATTTAAACGACGAAAGTGAAGTTGTATCTGATGGTTACGAACACAATGCAATGGTTTGTGATGTGGTATCTTTGTTTTCTTTAGGCATGCAATTGGTATTGCACATGCGCTCAAAACTGAAATGGCTGCGTGACGCAAACTGCCCATGAAATAAGTGTCTGTAGGTATTGCGTAAAACTGGGCCGAGCTGCATAACTAGGGAGTTTGGGCCGTGGCGTAATTTACAACCTAGCGAAACATGTGGTAGCCTATGCAATTTGGGCAGTTAAGTTTAAAGTATCGCAGATAGGTGAAATGCTTTCGCCAGGTGCTAATCCGCTATGCATGTTCGGGGTAATGGGCCGTGGCCACGGTTCCACGGCCCATTTGTGATGACGTCAGAGTTCCTTCTGTACCGATAATGAGCGACGAAACGTCGTCAGATCCGCCTGGCCGCAAGCCGACAGACAGCTGGTGTCCCGCTGAAAAGCGGAGCGTTCTGCGTGCCGGTGTCCCGATCCCGATCCGATCCGACCGATCCCGATCCGATCCACCCGATCCCGATCCCGATCCCCGGTCCGATCCGTCCGATCGCCGATCCCGATCCGATCCCGATCCGATCCGTATTCCGATCCCGGCCTGTCCCGATCCCGATCCGATCCGATCCGATCGCGATCCGATTCCGACCCCGCTCCCCGCCCGCAACCCCCCGCCCCCTCTGACCGGCTACTCAACACTTCCTGTCCGTTCGTCCGCGCCCCTGCTCCCGCCGTCCATCCCGCCTCCCGACCGCGGACTGTCAGTCTCACCATGCTCGAGCCAAGGTCTCCCGCCCACCGACTGCTCCGCTCCGGCCAGTGGCGTCTGCCACCGACCAATGGCTGCTGTCCTCGCGATCTCAGCTCCTGGCTCCCGCCTGATGACTCTCGTGGCTCAGGCTCTCGTTCCGGCTTGGGCATGGGGTTCAGTTTCCGGTCTCCGCGCGCCTGTTTCGTTTCCCGGCTCATGCCTTTTGTCGGCCTCAGCTCCGGCTTAGGCTCACGCTCGGACTTCTTATTCCTCGTTCCCAGCTGTCGGCGGGCCGGTACATTGCACGTCCCTCCTTGGTCGAACTGTGCCAAATTATCGCAGAACAATCAACGGTCGTCCGCGGCCGGCGCGTGGTTTGCGATCTCATGGTGGGAGCAACAACATCCTGTCTAACATCGCCGCGAGCGGGTGATAACTTCCGTGTCTCCCACTTTCCTCATCCACCTTCCCATCGCTCCTCGTGAACTGCTGAAAGAGATGCACCGATTGTGTCACAACTGGACACGCCTGTCTGCCGGCCAGCGAAATGAGTGCAGGAGATAGCGTTTGGACGCGATAAAAGGGTAATCGCTCTACTGTTCGTTCGTTGGTCCAGCTTTCCCGGGGCCGTAGTGTCGACTAAATGGTTTTCTCCCGCCTCGTGCAGTTTGACCCACATTGTAACTTGTCGTGATTTGCCTTAATTTGTTCTTCGGATTAAATTAGCGGCATTAGTGTAAATCCCCGTAATCTGTGTGCCATTAGCAAGGCGTTTGTTCGGCTGCATGTTTTTGCGAGAAATGCCACCGAAAACTTCACGTCCCGCTGGCTGTGGCTCTCCAAAACTTTCCCCATACGTAGGCGTCGGTATTTAAAATCCTAGCCGGCTCTCATTTTCTTGTGACTTACGGCCCGATGCCTATCGCTGCTGATTGAACGTTGTCACGGCGGGGCTGGCGTTACAGCCCCCGACCGGTCTCCGGTCACGCGACCAGATCGTAGGTTATTTTGCTGGAGTGGTTCGCATGCGATTTCGGAATCACTGCCTTGACACCAACCTGTGACCGGCCCGGTGAAATGATCTGTCTGATCTCTCACCTGTCCTGTATCCCGGCCTGTGATCTGTGCGGTGACCTGCCCTTTGAGCCGCACTGTACGGCACTCTGTCCCCGCAATCTGTCCCCGCATCTGTAGCCCGTCGTGGAGCGTCATGAATGGCCTGCCGTGTTGACCGTCCTGTGACCCGATCTGCAACAGAACCCCAGCTCCAGCCCGTGAGCGCTCCCCGACCCGTGACCTGACCGTGATTGGCCTGCGCCCTGACCCGCCACCCGGCCCGTCGTCTGACCTTTTTCGTGCTCTGTGTGTTCACAGTGGACGGAACTCCAGAACGGGCTCCACACACACGCTGACAGGCAGCAGGACAAGTAAGTGCCTCGCCCGCGCCGACCCTTGAGGTCTCCCGCGCGCGCGCTGTGGTCTGTCCCTGTCTCCATGCTCCGCGGCGGTAATCAAACAGCGGCCGAATCTCCTATGTCGCTTACGTCTCGCTCGCCGCTGGGAGTTCAGCGGCAGCCGGGCATCACTTCACTGTGTCGTCTTTTCCCGTCTTATCGACTGTGGTGTTGCGTGGTGCCAGTCCTAGTCCAGCGTGCTGCTCAGGGCTGTTGCCCGCTTCCTGTGGGCCTCTGTGTGTTCGTGCGGCCTGGAGCTGTGTCGCTGTGGGTGCTGCATTTGTTCCATCCGTTCAGCGTAAGCAGGGCGTCTTCTGTTTGGTCAGTCTCGATCCGTATGCGTGTGTTCAGATGTTCCAAGTGATTTTGGTGTTTTGGTCAGGGCTGCGGTAAATTGTGGCTATTGACGGGCCCATGTATACTCAGAATGGCACGGTGTGCTCCGAAGGCAGGAGTGAACCTCACACAGCGGTCATCTCTGGCGCGTTTGGAAAAGATCTGCTGCACGGCGTGCGTTTTTCGGGTATTCTTTTCATTACGTCGCCAATGACCTAAATTATCTGCGCACAGGACATGTCTTAACACATGGCTGATGACGATTTGGATTTTTAACGGCGGTTCGGCTGCTGTGGTCATTTCGCGCCGTGTAAAATATGGATGTTCCAAGCGTATTTTGTAAGTACGCCGTGGCGGCGCGACCTTTGCCCTGCACTCTGAACTAAAGCAACCAGGTTGAAGAACTCGGGTGGCTTATGCACGTTAAAATAGGCGACGGGACGCCCCGACGCTTTTCGAAAGCCTCCTGCGATTCTCCTGCTTTGGTGAAAAGCATCAAAGCGGAACGAATGCCGTGTACCCCGGCAAGGCGTGAGTGAAAACCTGTGGCCCATTCTCTCCCACATACACTCGACTACAAAGCCTTCGTGACAGGCTGAGTGGCCGACGAATCTCCATAACGGCCGACGAACGGGCTGGCCGGGACCCCGTCTCGTGCAGCTCGCGCCGCGTTAGATGTAACGACCGCCGAGCTCCGTCGGAAAACCGTCGGCATTTCTCCCACGGCCGCTGGCCGGCGGATGGGGCTGGTTGTGGGTCGCGGCGGTACCGTACGGCCCCGCCCGAACCATGACGTCACCGATGCACCCCGCCGGCGGTCTGGGCCTGGGGATGGGCGATGAGGACACGTCCTCCCCGGGCGTCACGAGCCCCGCGGCTGGCTACCGTTTGGGCCTTGCGCTGAAGCAGTTGTTCCACTGCGGTCAGAAATGGGTCATTAGCCTTTGAGATATCACTGGTTCCCCAAAGGCTTGGGTGCGAAGTGTGCGACGCCAAGCTGTCTGCATTTTCCCGTGTTGAACTCTGGGTGTATACTGCATGGCTGCAGACATTGCATGTCTATCACCTTCCAGCTGTTTCATTGCGACACCCCGCATTGGTACGCGCTGGATGGGTCGGCGATACTCAACTGACGACATCGCAGCGCCCCCCCCCCCCCTCTTCAGGATGAACCTGGGAGGGGGGGGGGGGGTAGAAGGTGGTCGATGCCGCCTGCCGTGCCGCCACTGTGACCTGTTCAGCGGGGCGTCCTCGGAGCTGCGTGACATCCGGGGACCTCGGCGAGGTGCCTGGCACTGGCTCCGTTCGGACCTGTCAGCTCGCTGGGGTCTAGGTTCATGTGGCCGCGGCCGGGTGCGTCACCTCTCACCGCACCGTCGTTTCCGACGATTTGTCTTCATCTGTGGAATCGTGTCCTAGCCGCGTGGTTGCCTATGATCGCAGGGTCCACAGAGATTGTTTTCCGACAAGTTGTAGCGACATCCACAGTCTGGTGTCATTGCAAGCGTTTTGCTATCATTGAGATCCCGTCGGTGTCGTAGAATAGTTCCGCGTTGTATCCAATGGTTTTGCGTCGTGTCCGATGGTTCGCTGTTTGTCGCCCGCACCGGACGGCGGCATGCATAGGGCGCGTGTCTGTTACCCCAGGCCGGGCCGGGCCATGACAGGCCCGACCAAACCCAGCAGAGCTCATTAGGAGCGGCCAGACGGCCGGGCCGCGCCCCCAGCGGCGTCTTCGGGGAGCGGCTCTGGAGACCGTCTGCTGGCTCCCGTCACCAGCGACTGCTGCCGACACGGCTGGCCGCTGACGGACGCGCTGGTGCCGGTGGTGCTGACGTGACGGGTGCGCTGGTGCCGGTGGTGCCGACGTGATTGGCGTTTTGGTGTCGGTTGTGCGGACGTGACGGGCACACTGGTGCCGGTGGTGCGGACGGGACTGGCACGCTGGTGCCGGTGCTGCGGACGTGACGGGCACGCTGGTGCCGGTGGTGCTGACGTGGCGGGCACGCTAGTGCCAGTGGTGGCGGCGAAGGGTGGCGTTTGATTCCCGCGGCCTGACGTGGCCTGCTCCCCTGAGCGTCTGCTTGAGTGGAAGAGACCCGCCAGCTGGCCGCGATGCTGCCTATGGCTGGGTCCTGTTGATCCCGATCAATGCTGCTTAAAAAGGCTTTTGCAGTAGTGCATTCGTTGTTGGTTCACTGCCTGGGTTCGGTTATCGCATGCTGTAAAGTAGATGTTATGTATGTAATAACGGACTCCACAGGCCGGAGCTTCGGTAATCAACCCCTGATAATTAAGGGATATTTGGAGACAATTAAGTGTACTTAGATCCATCATTTGCATCAATTTCGCGACGGCGTTTGAGGGTGGTAAACTTCACTGTATCGTAGGGTCGAACGGATTTGCCGTAGTCGTGTTGCGCGGTTTGGCAAAAGTAGAAGACAAAAATCTGCGTTTTCAATCACTGCATATTCACTTCAGTCGCTCCTTAATCCATACTGATACATGATCCATGATGTCCATAATCCGTCATGATCCATGATCCATCATGATCTGCGATCCATGGTCCGGTATGATCCATGATCCGTCATTATCATTGGTCCATCATGATTCACGATTCATCATGATCCATGGTCCATCATGATCCATACTCCATGATCCATAATGCATGATCCATCACGGTTCATAATCCATGTTGGTCCATAATCATGATCATGATAATGATTCATGATAATGATTCACATCCACATCATCTCCAAGAGACCCAACCTTTAGCCAGCCGGGAAGGAAACGACACAGTCGGACCCCGTCAGGAGCGTGAAATGACCATATTGTTCGACGCGCCCCTAACGTCGAACCGCATCTCGGCAGGAGGGGAGGGGGAGGGGCCGGACGCCGCCAGTCGCCACTGACAGCACGTGTTCGGATCCTGACAGCTGCACCCGAGGCTGACCCTACCAGGGGGCCACCTGACACGCACAATGCACAATGAGCGCGCATACAACCTGCCGACACGTGCACGGGGCAAGCAGGGGGGGGGGGGGCGCTCCTTTATCTTCGCCCCGGTTGCTCCAGGGAGCGCTAGGGAGCTCATCCGCGCCTTCATAAGGCACGGGTTATCCATGACGCGTGACACTGTCCTGCGGTTTTCGGCCCGAACCGCTGCCATAACGGCGCGCCCCGTTCCCGGCCGCCGCCCCGGCCGGTGTCAGTGCTGATGGCCTCTAATTGCAGAACGACGCGGCGGCCTGAGACGACTGCTTTCTAATTGCGCCCGGCCGCGGCGCGTTCGCGCCACCTGCTGCGCCGCGCGCCGCGTTTGCCCCGCGCGCCGGGATCGTCCCGCGCGCCGCGAATGTTCAGACTACCGTCGATTGTGGCGGCGGCGCCGGGCGCGTGGCTCGCGGTGGGTTGCTGGGGCGCAGTGACGGGTTGTGTGCTGGCGCCGGGCGTGACGCAGTGACGGCCGGATCGATGACGAGGCGGCGGTCAGTGGCAGCGCAACCGAGACGGTATTGTGCAACCCATCGATTGGCTGCCGGGTCACGCTCAGGTGGTCACGGCTGGGCCTGTTTGAATCAATCTACGGACTCGCCGAAGTTTGCTGGTCAGCGGGCGAAGTGTGGGCGAACGTGTCGAACAAACCGAAAGTCTTATGTTAGCCCTCAAGTACAGCCGCATTTTTTCCATGAAATCGCGAATAATTATTAACGTGCATACCCTCAGCGATGCCGGCTACGGCTTCTTTGGACTCGGTATACGTCACCTAATCGTACCTGATTGGCGACTTAGTACACTGTCGGTGCGCTTGCTAATGCTCAGCCATCAGTATGCCGATGGTCGCGTGCTGCTATGGTAGTTTGCTGTTGAGTTTAGCTTAATTGGCCGACGGGAAAGGTGTCTAATGCAGCGCTTGTCATGCTAGACGCGCGCACTCTGGTAAACTCGAGGGCCCTCCACCATCCTGCTGCAGGCCCACTGCGCCACGTCCGGAAGCCGCACCACATGCGTCATCACGGAAACCGGATCATACACAGCCGCACTTAAGTGCTACCCCTCCGCCGACACTACCGTCCGCATGACTTTCGGGTGGCGGGCGGGAGTGAGACGCGCTGTTTCCGACAGCTGGCGGTACAGGCGACATGCTGCCGTTGTCCCAACGTGCCGACACTACCGTCCGCATGACTTTCGGGCGGCCGGCGGGAGTGAGACGCGCTGTTTCCGACAGCTGGCGGTACAGGCGACATGCCGTCGTTGTCCCAACGTGCCGACACTACCGTCCGCATGACTTTCGGGTGGCCGGCGGGACTGAGACGCGCTGTTTCCGACAGCTGGCGGTACAGGCGACATGCCGTCGTTGTCCCAACGTTAGCCGCTGAACAAACGGGCGCAGGGCCGATCGATTTACGATGGGGGCTATGGGGGGTAGATTAGGCGGCGGAGGCCATGTAAATAGCCTGAGCATTATTGTCTCGGCCAGGTCCCAGTAATCCAATATCGGTTATCTATGGTCCAACGCTTCTCATTGTAAATATATGTTTGGAATAGCCGTATGGCAATAAATCTGTCTCGTATTGGTGGGTATTACCTATGGTATTAATGTACTATGTTCGCACCTCTCGTAATCCTGTTTTTCGTCGCAAATATAGCACGCAGTCGCGTTTATTGCATTAGCATTCATTCGTGGAGCTTGTGAACGAGCAGGGCCCTGGGATTTCATAGATGGATGCTGCCCTCCCTAATGCCGCACTAGTTAGTACTTCCCTCACTGACATAGCTCTATAACAGTTATCGAAATAGGTAGCGTTAGTAATTCCCTCACTGACATAGCGTAAAGTGCCTAATAGTTATCGAAAATAGGTAGCAAGTAGCGCAGTAGCTACTGAACAGCATACTCACCGCGAAACGTTGAGCTTGAATATCTCCGGCTGGATTGTTTTGGGTCTGCTTTTTAGGAAGTCCCGCATTGGAGAGCAGCGAGTTTTCGTTCCGCCAGCCCTCCGCTGTGGCGCTTGTTGGACAATGGATGGTTAAGCCAGACTGAACTGGGCTTTACCACGAGTGAAAAGTTTCCGAGACGAATCCGTCATGAATCGAGTTGCCCGAGTAATAGATTTGTACGAAACATTAGCAACAACTTGAAATCTGATAAAACATGGGCCCTCTTTCCTGATAGCCTGGCCACCTGGCCCCAAATATGGCTTCTTACGGAGCTAGATGAAGCACCTGTCCCATTAGGATGGCTGCCGGCCGTGCCCGATCAGGCTCTCTCGGTAAAGTATCAGTCACATTGCGATGGCAGCTGGCCGTGCCCGATCACATTGCGATGGCAGCTGGCCGTGCCCGATCACGTTGCGATGGCAGCTGGCCGTACCCGATCACATTGCGATGGCAGCCGGCTGTGCCCGATCACGTTGCGATGGTAGCCGGCCGTGCGTGATCAGGCTCTCCCCGGGGGCTGCCTGATTTTCTGACGGCCTGAAAAGGAGTCCTCGTTTGCTGCGTTCGACACGGCCGACGCGGCGCGGGCAAGCGTGCGCGGCGTCCGGTCACCAGAAACCCGTTCTGTGCGGGTCAGGCCGTGTCGTTCATCATGGGCTGGGGGAGCCGACCGCTGGAAGCGGCCCGTAGATCATGAGGGGGGGGGATTACTCATCGGGATTTTCTTTTCTGGGATGTTGATGTTGACTCACCAGAGTGTGCTGCCGCTCGACGCTCTGCAGTCGTCTGTCGTCTCAAGTCCAGGGTCAACCATTCGTCAGCAGCGGCTGTTTACAGCGTTTCGCTGGATGTCACCGATCTGGCAGGCCTCCGTCGCGTGCCGTTTCATTTAGGAGTGTCACCATCCGGTATATTTCGATGTTGATCATGCAGACGTGCGGTTAGCAGCTGGGATCAATCATAGATCTGAATGATCTGGAATCAGTCTTGAGATCATGTCGCCCATCTCCAGGGTTCACTATTGGACATTGTTAAAAAACGTTCGACCTTCGCCGCCAATCCAGGTACACAAGCCCACGCACGTTGTTAGCCCGCCATGCGTTCAAAAACACGTATACCGGTTTCGGACGTCTATCTTCAGTATAAGAAAGTCTACCACTAGTTCAGGGGATCTACCGACAGTCCCACGAGTCTACCGCCAGTCCCATGAGTCTACTGCCAGTTCCATGAGTTTACCGCCAATGCCAAGGCCTACCGCCAGTCCCATTAGTCAACTACTAGTTCTATAGGTCTACCGCCAGTTGCAGGAGTCTACCACCAGTTCCACAAGTACCACTAGTCTTAAAGTACTACAGTCAACCCTAAGAATCTGACGCCAGCTCTATAAGTCTGCTACCGGTCCAAGCAGTCTACCGTGAGCTTCAAAAGTCTACCGTCAGCCCCACGAGCCTACCGTCAATCACATGAGTCTATCGTCAGTCCCAGTAATTTACCGGTATCTTCACAAGTCTACCAGTCGCATGAGTCCATCGTCAGTCCCGATTTTATGCCGTTGGTCTCAACAACCTTCCTTCATCGAATCCCAAGAGTCCACCGCTAGTCCCAAGGGTCTACAGTAAGTCCCACGAGTATATTGTCAATCCTGGTAGACTACTGTCAGTCTCCAATATCTGCCTATACTTGCTTTGGATGTGCGGACGTGACCGTCGTGTTACGAAATGACTATTGCGCCCTTGGTTTCCTTATTTGTTTACTCCTCCACTGCTCTCCGGACCTCATCAGTATTCGCAGTCTCCTCTGGGCTCACGAGGCTTACCACCAGTGCCCGGACCCCAGACTTCTGACCAGGAGTCTGCACCGCAGTCTCCGGAGTCTTCTTCCGGTCGCGATGGGGAGGGGAGGGGTCGATGGTGGGTCACGAGGGTCGATGCCGACGCGGCCGTCCGCCATCGATCGCCGGCCGTCGCCAGCGCCGCCGGCGCCCGCCCGGCGTCCGCGTCGGTGGCAACACACACCCGCCCACCCTCTCACTCCCCGCCGCTGGCGCACACACACTCACACACACGCCGCGGCCGCGGCCGGTGCCTGTAGCCGGCGGCGCGCTTTCCTTTTCACCGGTCCTGCGCGCGCGGTTCGGCGCCTCTGCGTCGCGCGCCCGCGGACGTGAGAACCAGAGCGGCGGAAGGACGACGCGGGCGGCGGGACGCGGGGGCCGTGAACGGCGCGGCGACGCTGCGATGCTCCCGGGTCGCGTGCGCGGGTCGCCACTCAGCCGAGCGCAGTGTTGGTGCCGGGGTGGTGCTGTGTGGTGCGGCGCAGCTGCATGGTGAGGGGCGTCCTGTGCAGTGTTAGAGCCGTGAAAGGGTAAGTGAGCGGAGTTCGGGTGCATCGGACAGCGAGCGTTGCCAGGCGGCCCGTGGCTGGCCGCGTGGGTGCACACGTGCCGATGTTGTCCGTCCAGCAGTGGCCATTCGTACAGGTGCTTCCGGACGATAAATTACAGCTCAGCGTTTCCGTGTTCATCCGTGGGACGCAACAGTGTGCCGCCGGACAGAACAGGAGCAGGTCCGCCGGCCCGTCAGGCGCGCTGTCGCCCGCGCGCGACAGGTGGGCGTGCCTGTTGTGTTTTGTCCGTGGGACTCGACTATCTTACTCATCCTGAGTCCCTCCCCCCCCCCCCCCCTCCCTTATTACCCGTGTTCGTTGGCGAGCTGTAACAGTGCGACTTTGGGCAAGGCTTGTGACTTTCCCGGGTTGCGTCCGTCCTCGGGTCTTGTCCGTCCTCGGGTCGTGTCCAGGTCGTGTCCTTTCCCGGGTCGTGTCCGTCCTCGGACCTCGACTGTCCTCGGGTTGTGGATGCACTCAGCCTGTGGCTGTCCCCGAAACGGGGCCCTCCCCGGATCGTGTCCATTCCTGGATCGTGTCCGTGCTCGGGTTATGTCGATGCTCGGGTCGTGTCCGTGCTCGGGGCGTGTTCGTGTCGTGTCCGTCCTCGGGGCGTGTCCGTGCTCGGGGCGTGTCCGTGTCGTGTCCGGATTGTGTCCGTGCCCGGGGCGTGTCCGGGTCGTGTCCGTCCTCGGGTCTTGTCCGTCCTCGGGTCGTGTCCAGGTCGTGTCCGTGCCCGGGGTGTGTCCGTACTCGTCTGGTGACCGCACCGGCCGCCTGCAGGCCTACGGCCGGCCGGCTCCCGCTCGGTGTCGCCGACCTTGAGCGAGGTCAGCTCGGCCTCGTCGACCTCGGCCAGGTCGCACGGCTCCATGAACTCGGCCGACTCGTCCTCGAAAGCGCCCCGCCCGGCCCGCTCCGGGTCCATACCCTCGCTCGGTGAGTGATGCCTGCTGTTGCCCTGCTGACCACGAGCGCGTGCTGGCGAGGTGAAACTTCTCGACCTCCGGGCGCTCCGAGTGCTGGTGGTAAATAGGCGCCGGCGTTTCGTAAGTAATTCAGGCGCTATTGGCTCTGGAATGCATTGGATGTCAAGCGCACTGCGGCGCGCGTGGGAGTAATCTGCGGTGTTTGATGGGCCCAGGCACGCGTTCTGCCGCCCTTGACTTGTTCATGCTCTTTCGCGCCAATGGAGCGGAGTGTTTGGTCCAAACACTGCCGCCCACGCACAATGGGGTCGCGGCCCTGGCGGTATCCCAGGCCTTGTGGCCAGCAGTGGCGGACACTTTGTTCAATTGTGCCCATATTGAGGGGACACGTGCACGTAAACTGGCACTCACCTACGCAAACACGTGGCACTTATGACGCTCACCCCTCCCCTCCCCCACCTACACGGACACACACACACACACACATGCCAGGGCGGGCAAACATGACCCACTCGTCATCGCGGAGCGGAGGCTCCCGCCAGACCGTAGGATGCCTCATCATGTGGTGACGGCTAGGCGAAGTGAGTGTAAACTGCACTTTCCCCCGCCCCGGAGCCCCGCTGATCACCTCGCTGTCCGTGGGAGAGGGCGCCATCAGGCGACGCATTGTGCGCGTGCTCGCTCCCATGCCCGCACTGATTGAACCGGCCACTCCTCCCGCGGCCAGGTCCCGAGAAGGCCGGTAAGTGTGGACGCCGTGGCTAATGGCAGTGTCTGGGGTGCTCCGAGCATGGTAGCTAGTGGCAGCTCATTTGTGTAGGCCCACAGGCTCAGCCGGCGAAAATGCAGCCCCATTGAGGCGCCGTAATGCCTCTCGTTGTGCGGTCTGCCATTTCTTTAAATCGTGTGTCCTCTGGCACGGGGCGTTGAACCCAGGTCCTCATATGCTGCCCACTAACGCAGCTTTATGTGAACTTCTCAGCCAACTTCTGGCACGCACTGTCTGCCAACTTCTGGCCAAAATGTTCGAGCGCACATAGAGAGAGTCTTCTGGCCTTTCCGCGGCACTCGCCGGCCGAGACTGAGACCTTGCCGCTGCTGGGTCAGACCCGCCGGCCACTGCGACTGGTCTGCCCCAGCAGTCCGTGTTAAGCCTCGTCGCCTGACTGGTTTGCCACCGCCTGCGCTCGCGCCGCCAGCCGGCCGCGAGCAGAACGCACGCCCGTCCGCCTGCTCTCGTCCGTGTGCGCACCCGTGTTGTCGTCGCCTCGGGCTGTCCACTCACCCCGCCATCTGTCGCCGCTTTCAGTGGGCGGGCGCACCCTGATCCCGGCGCTCCGGCCGCCCCACTCAGGTACGGTCTCGGCGGGGGCCGCTCTGCCGTCCTGAGGCCGGCTGGGGGTGGTGGGGAGCCCCAACGGTCCCCACGGTTGGACCTGGAACGCAACGCGCCACCAGGATGCATCGCGCTGCATGGTGTCCTGCTGCTGAGCATACTGCTGCATGCCTTTACACGTTGTGGCATACTGCCGCGCATGCTGCTGCCTGTGTTTCCGTGCATGCTTCCGCATGTGCTGTGGCACGTACTGCGGCACACGCACCGCCGCATTCGCTACTGCACGCACGCCGCACATACTGCCGCACACGTGGCTACACACGCTGCCGCACATCCTGCTGCACATCCTGCCGCACATCCTGCCGCATTCGCTTCCGCGCACGAATGCGACATTCGCTGTCGCATCCTGGTGTCACGGCCGCGTCTCGCGTCATGCTCCGCTCATGGCTCGCACGATGATTGAGCTGCGGAAGCTGATGTTGCATGTAGGTCATTCGATCAGTGGCACGCCATAACTGTGGCCATGAATGCGCCTGCGTACGTGCACGGGGAAAATCGCCTCTATTAAGCTGTAGTGTGACTGTGCGACGCGCAGTGTTGTCGCCAATGTTCGTCGTACGTAATTCGTCAGTGATGATGCTGCCTCTGACAATCATGCTGGTGATATGCTGCCCTGACCTCTTCCCCTCGTGACCGGGATAAAAATAAATGCGTCCCGGCCGGCAGGTGATCCTCCGGCCCGAACGGGACGCGTGATGTGACGATGCCGTCATTACTGGTGTGACGGGTTCTGCGAAAAGCTGCTGGGACCACCCTACTATTTCTGGCATCTTGATTTATTTCGAGGGGTCTCATCTCTCGGGAAATCCTCTGCCGAAATCTGGGGTTATTTCTGTGGTCCCTGCTCCGTGATTAGTGAGCGGGTTGGCCTGGTCATCCGCTCTGTTCTCACACACGGGCATTATCATCGATGCGTGACGGCGGAAAAGATCAGTGATCACCAGCGTCGGAGGTCATTCGCATCGGGAGACCTCGGGCTCGATTCCCACCACAGACGGCTGTCAGGGGTGTCACACTCGCTTTTGGTTATGGACCGGGTCAGGTCCACAACCAAAAGCGTCCCGATCAGTCCCGGTCCGGTCAGGTCGGCTCCAGCCCCAGCTCAGCGTGCGTTAGCGCCATTACCAAACCGCGTCCAGCACCTACCCACATCACGAATGCCATCTGCTGCGTTCGTGTGGGCCGATGCGCTCTCTACTAATTCACTCACTTCTGCACGCCGCCGCCAAACGCTGCCAACAATGGCCCAGACCAGGAACGCGGTCAGTCCGGTCGTAACGGCCATGGGCCGCGGCCCAGGCGTGGGAGAGCCGTCGTCCGCGATGCGGCGGCGCGTGACAATTAAAATCGGCCGCGTCACGTGGGTGTGTCGGCCGCTGGTGACCCGCCAGCTGCGGCCCCGGTCAGTCGCAGCCGCGCCCCGGCCGACCCCCCCCCCCCCCTCCCCTCCATCCCTCGCCGCGGCAGCGCCCGCAGTTACTCCACTCCCGGGCGAGTGTGAGGAGTCTGGAGACGGTAGGTGATGTATCGGTTAGAGTAGTGGGGGAGGCCTTGAAAGCGTCTGGGCTGAGCCTCATGCAGTTCTTCGATTGGGGTCTAAACTGCAAAACGTTTTCATTATCAATTTGGTTTAAACCTTTGGAATTCAAACACCTTTTGCGAGCGCAAGAGAAGTCTGTCAATCGAGCTTCGACAGATGAATAATTGGTGAACACTTATCGCACGACACATTGTCCAACAGTATAAACTATCGAACTTTGAACAATCCCCATGACGTCCTAAAATAAAAGTGCTTTGGCGGGTCGGCATCTAAAAATACTCCGCACTTTTACGTCAGCTAGAATACGGTGCTCTAAAAGTTTGAACTCTGTGACTTTTTTTGTCCAAAAGCTCGCATACCTTAAGTGCTAAGACACCCGCACTGGTCTGGCGTCTTCATGGCCCTCCTCTCGGCGGCGTCACCACAGCCGCTGACCTGCGCCCGCACGCACTCAGTCTACTTACCCGGTACCTGCTAGAGCGAGGGAGCTGGTTGTGTAATCCTGCGCACCATGTCGGTGACTCTGTCGTTCCGGAGACACGCGATCATTTTTAATTGCTGCAAAAGCACCGGCGGATACAGGCCGGAGTTCGCCGTCGCTGCTCTTTCACAGCAGTGACGTTACCTCGCGTCCTCCGTGGTTTGCAGGACGGCGGTTGCGGTCACGTTCTGTTTGCAACGTGACGGAACGCGACCCCGTCGGTATTGCATGTTAAACAGATGATACCTCACTCGTCTGCAGTGCATTTTACGCATCACCTTGCCTATAATCGGGCTCCACCTCCAGCACTGACAGCCTGAACCGCTATGATTTCTCCCGGCAGACAGGAAGTGAGCGTGACGGACTGCCACCAGTGACGTCATATGACGGCTAACCTGCCGTCCTCCCGCAGGCTCCGCTCCGTCTACGGCTCGTAGCGGCAGCAAGCAGCCGGCCGCCGTCTCCAGGCCAGTTCCGACGACGGCCGCCAGGGCGGCGCTGGACACGCCGGCGCGCCGCCACCCGGGCGTTCTCGCCAATAAGACCAACCTCGCCAGCAACCACAGCCAAGGTATACTGCTCTGTCTTGACCTGCAATTGCCTCGCTGTCAGCCGACCTGGACCTAGGAGTGACCAGCGTTTTTCTGACCCTGACTTGAGATTGACCCGCAGCCTGTGCGTGTCTTCGACAGCCACTCCCGCCGTATAACCCAGCGGCTGATATTGCTTCAACACAAACTCCTCTACCGTTTGCTCATTTACGGCGCACCTGGTTCTGCTCATTTACGTCCTTCATACGCGTTTGTCAGATGGCGTGGGCACCACTAGAGCAGCCATATATTGAGGCTCCGCGTAGGCAGCGGTTAACTCGTCCTGGAAGCTGCGAGTTAACCGCTGACGTCACATCTCCCTGGTGCGGCGCACCACTCAGGGAACGTGCGTGTACCGGACCATCCATTGCCAGAAAACAGAGCTCTGCATCTTGCAGTGGGAGGAAAAGTGCTCAGGGCTTTTGCGATGGTTTTGTTTCAGGAACGAAAACGACCAAACCTCCCACGAGGACACCGAATAGCTCACGATCTCAGAACAAAGTACAAAGCAAAACTGCTACCAAAGGTAGGTGTCGCATTGCTCTCTTTTCCTGCCTGGCCGAGGCCGAAGGTCCTAGCTGCGTGACACTGGGCTCAGAATGGGCCAAAAATGGGAGTGGCGCGTTCAAAACTACCTGTCATTGTTCCCACAACCTATGGAATTGGTCCAACCTATGGAATTGGTCCAAAATTTATCTGAAAACAGGACCTAATATGCTTCGAGCATCTTCCTTTGTCTACAGATGAGTTGGTCAGTTCTTGTTGCGTTTTATTCAGCCCATGTGGAATCGTCATTTTTTCATGACGCTGGTTACTTCTTGCTGCACTGTACCCTAACCTCTTAATTTTTACGTAATACGAATGCCAAAAGCGCAATAGGATCGACTCAGCTCTATCTACATGGCCGCCTATACCTATTCCAATATAACGGTCTGCTATGTAGCTCATCCGACGGCTAACGGCCATATTCACTTCAATACGATGGAAGTGGCTTGATTTGTTCCATCGGATTATTTCAGCCAAATGATACATATTCAGCAAAATCGATCATTGCAATGAAATTCGTTTGACTGCACTACCATTCTATCGTTCGCCGGAAGACTCCAACCTAGGCGGGGTTCTCACTGACCACTCTGACAGAAGACATTGTTGCACGAGATACACGGCTAGCCTGCACATCTGAGTCAGTGCTACACGCCATGCGGCGCGGGCACGCTGTATCCGCGTTAGAACATGGGAACTCATCCTTGGAAACTACCATTTGTCCGACTGTGGGCAGTGCCATCTGTTGGTAGACTTTCATCGTAGCATGGTTTTGTTTAGCTCCGCTAGGTGGTGCACACGGACTGTAGACACCAGCGTTCAAATACACATGGACGGCGAACGGCTGTTGGACTGGCGTCGGTTGAACTAAATGCCATTTCTAGAAAGGTTACGGTGCATCAGTTAACTGGTCCCTCTGCACTGCCGTCAGTGACTACCTGTTCGAATTGCCTGCCATGGCATGGGCTTAGTCTGCGCGCTGCTGGTTACAAGTCCTGATCAGTATTTTAACCACCGATCTACTTGAGAGCGTTGCTTACGATCTTGACATGAGAGCGTTGCATGTCGTCTCTCCCCGTTACTATTAAGGGCGTGGAGCGCGGCTCCAGCTCAACTGGGAGGGACAAGGCGGAAGGATTTCATAGGGGAGCCTCTTGTGAGAGGTGGAAGGAATGGTAACCCTCGTGACATCACCTGCTGGTCCGCTGCCCGTTGGCCCTTCCCTGCGCCTCACGACCGCTTGACGCACTCTTTCAACCCCGGTGGTCGAAGGGTCTTGCACCAAGTTGGTGCAGAGTTCAGAATGGCGCAACAGTGATCAGAATGCCGGGGGCCTGAAGCCTGTAAGGTCTGTTGTTCACCGCCTTGGGGGGAGGGGGGGGGGAGGAGGGAGTCCGTTGCCCCGGATCCGCCAGCGGTCGTGGGTCTCCGTGTGACGTGTTTGCACACATGGGCGTGAGCCCGAGGCCCAGCCGCCTCACTTTCTAACGGCGACGCTGAACTGGACCTCCCGGCCCGGCCCGACCCGGCCCGCCGCTTTTCGCTGTCAGGTGCTCTCACTCTCACCAAGGCCCGACCACCGGCGCTCCGGTGGACTCTGGCTCAGACATGCTGGGTGACCCCGCGGACCAAGTGTGACCTCTGGTGACCGAGCGTGACCCTACTGACTCAGCATGATCGCGTTGAAGTTGGTGTGAATCTCCATGACCTGACGCAACATTTCATGACCCGATATGGCCTAGATTATAATTTTCGTCGTGACTAATTAATTTTAGTGACCAGGGGCAGGCTTGTCTGACCTCTCCGGTCTTGGATGACCTCAACGAGTCAGGTGCCTTTGAACACCAATATACCCGTGGCGGGCCGTTTACTTCCGTCGATTGTTCGATTTTTGGGCTCCTGAAACCTTGTTTCTGGCTCTTTTGGTCCAGAAAGCTCCGTGCTCAGGAAGGGTATTCCAACGTAGCCCTACCTGACCTGACCTGAACACAGTCGGCTCCCTGGGGCTGTGGTCAGGTCAGACTGTCGACTACAGTTTTGCTTGGCCCGTTCGCTCGTGACATCCGCCAGACAACGTCTTAAGGACCGCGGATGACAGATCTGAACACTTAACGCAATTGAATTCCGCCTTTTTATCGGCCCGCTGATGTTGTTAAAAAGCCTGAGTTAACGATCGGCTGGTTTTTGCTCGCGACCGTCAATGAAAAAAGTTGAGGCATGACAGCGCCCCCGCCCCGTTACGGGCGTCTCCTCAATTCCTCGCTGGAATCGCAGCCGTGTTTGCAAACCTTACGACGTGAGCATGGCGTTGCCCCATGCGGAGTGACATCACTGGCCATTACACATCATTTACCGGCCATTCTGGCTTCCTGTTATCCAATTGGCACGCTCACTCTGGGACAAGCAGGCCTCTAACTGAGAGCGATGGCGTGCGTGCCGGGGCAGCTGAGGCGTTTTAGCTGTCTCCGGACGGCGTAGGACGGAGGCGCACGTGCCGTCCTTGACCAGCTGCGCGTCGGCGCCATGCAGCCCCGCCCCCCCCCCCCATCGACAGCGCCCCGCGGCGCGCAGGACATGACGGAGGGCTTATTACTCTCCCGCTGGGCGCGGAGCGGGCGCACTCGAGCGCCGGGCGAGCGCCGGCGGCGCCTGACCTTTCGAGTGTTGTCCCAGCCGGGTGGCGGCGCGCGCGGCCGCCGGCACCGGCACGTAACCGGGTCAGGGGAGCTGGGCGGCCGCGGGCGCGGCCCGCTCCGCCGCCGCCGCTGCTGCCAGGCGGTCTGGGGGAGGACGTCGCCGGCGGTTCCCAGGGAGATTACGGCAGCTCTGCAGCCGTGTCCCGGTGCTGCGGTGGGTCGGGTTTGCAGTCGATCCGCGGCCGGGCATCGCCGTCAGGCCACCGGAAAAGCGCGGCATTACTGCAGCAATCCGGTGATGGCGATCGGTGCGGGGTCGAGAGGTCGCCACTTTCTCCTCGTGCGTAACATCGGTGGAGTTAATTTTGGTGCTTAGCGACTCCTGCGAGGTGCGACTTTAGTCGGTTCGCCTACAGTCCGAGAGGCGTGTTATGTTGGGCTGTCCTACACCAGGCGGCCAGCGGAGGGTGTCCCACACAGAAAACCCAATGTAATGCGGCTGTGATACTTTTAGCCACTGGACCCAGCCCGCCCACCGGCATCCTGGCTGAGCGCCACACAGTCTCGGCAGAGCCATTAACGTGCGAAATGGCACCGCCGTGGCCCCGCAAGGCCACGAGACCATTTGAGCCTGCAATCTGCACGAACCTAACGCCACATGCAAGCGAGATAGGCGGCGCCTATCTCGCCGGGTGCGGGTGGCTTATGAATGGGCAAGCCTGAATGCACGGCCTGTCAGCAGCGTGGCAGCATGTCGTGTCAACACGCAATGTTCGACTGGCCGGAGCGGCGCCAGCAGCTGACACCGTCGTCAGCGTGCGGCCACGGCGGCTTCTCTAAGCCGACGTGGCCAGTGGCAGAAAGTGACCCGTCGCAGGGCAGCGCCCAGCCCCCGGCTCAGGCCTCCACGTGATCTTCCTATCCCATCTTCCAGCGGTTCTCGTCCAGCGCCTTGTGTCTCCCAGGGACTCGTCATGGGCGGTGATCAGCAGTCTCCAGCCAGCGATCATTTGTCGTCTGTGCGTGACGGTCGCGCCGCGGCGCTGTCCGCCTGACAGCTGCCGTGTGTCAGCCGTTCATTCGCTGGTCTTGTCTGGCGAGTTGTCTCGTCTGGCGACGGTGGCAGCTGAAGCCGACCCTGACTTTGGCAGCCGTCCTGAGCCGGCCGGCCGCGCTGGAAGGGGTGCTGGCCGCTGTCGCGATGCCAGCCTTGTGACGCACGTCCCGCCGAAGTATCCACGGCAGAGTTTGACTTGGCGCGTCGGCCGCGATACACAGGGATCCTCAGAAGAGCCACTGTCCAAACAGCGAACTTAACGGCCCGGCTGGGCGCGCCGCATGGCCGAGGCCTGCCGTTCGGTCCCCTTCACGGGAGCACTGACTGGCTCCCTCAGGAGCGCAGAGTGGCTCCCTCGGGAGCACTGACTGGCTCCCTCGGGAGCGCTGATTGGTTCCCTCGGGGCGCTGACCGACTCCCTCGAGAGTGCTGACTGGCTCCCTCAGGAGCGCGGACTGACTCCCTCGGTAGCGCTGACTGACTCCCTCGGGAGCGCTGACTGGCTCCCTCGGGAGCGCTGACTGGCTTCCGTGAGCTCCTCCCGGCTTACGGAAGAATGGCTAGGCTCAGGGGCAGATGTTTTTTCCTCACGCTACCTCCGTCTATCTCACAGAAACACTGATGCTTCGTGAGTTTGACCTGATAACCGAGTACCTTTGTCAATATCTCGTACGATAGGCCAGTCTCGTGCCAGACCACTGAAGACCCGCCAGGGGGGGGGGGGGGGGCTAGGTTTCTCTCGCCATCAGTTGGCAACTCTTATAGGCCAGGTGTTTGTGCCAGGCCAAGGATCGACGAGCTTGCCTGCGAGCGACAGAATATTGGCTGCGATATTTATAGACGCTAGCCGGTTAGAGCAGTGGATATTTCTGGCTGCATGCGGTGAAGCTATACACTGGAGCTGCTGTTCCAGACATCAGTAGGCCATTAGAGGATGCAGTTACTTAAAGCTGAGTTGTATTGACAGTGATATCTTGCCGAATCACTGTGACCTCGAATTCTTATGATGTGAATATGCATTTCATCCTCATCTGCATGCATATTACATGCATCAGGAACTTGCATTTTGTTGACTTTAATTACGGTCTATAGGCTTGACGTTTATTGATTGTTTGTTTAACTCCCGAACAAGGCGCTGAAGCGTTTTTACCACGATGCCTTGGACCATACACAAAGTCGACAAACCGTTTTGCTATCGATCCCTGGAGTCAGCTCAAGCGGACGGTTCTGGACACAAACACGGCGAGGACCCAGCAACACGCTCGCTGTTCAGCTAGGGACACAAACACA